AATAGTTAGAAATCTACCATATTTAAATCACAAAGGACAAATACAGAAAATACCCATGATGTATCAGAAAAAAATCACACTGTCATACATGTTATGATTGTAAAAAATCTTTAGCGTCTGAAATCATGTGGCCGAATTGATAACTTATCTACATAGTAAAATTTAATGTTCTGAGTTAGAACAGACAAATATGTTTTTAAATATATATTTACTCATAGAGTACAAACTGAGTATCTACGTGATGAGGATGAGAAAGGTTATCACATAAAGAACGCATGGAATGAGTTTTACCTCTCTATTTGAGTAATATTCATTTTATCGATTAAAAATATGTAAAAGGTAGCTATAAAAAAATCAAACATTCCAAATGGTCTTTCCAGACACATGGGTCAATAATCGTGAAATGCAATAGAAGAATAAAAAAACGGCGATTATATAAAGGTAACTAAAATTATGTTTAAAAATGTACTTAGATAGTTCTTTTATGTCCCTGAGGAGAATTTTCATTTATATCAAACGTAACCATTTACAAGTAAAATATTTAAAATTTAGATACTTCCTCGGTACTATGGCCAAAGAGAGATAAACCAAATCATATCAATTCCCATTGTGACACAGGATTTTTTTTTTTTTTGGTCATTTTACATCTCCTTTTTAATTTTTTTTTTTAAAATGATGTTCGTTTTTTTAATCAATATAATTACCTATGTTAGAAATTGTAAACATTAAAATAAAATTCGTTTTAAGAAATTCAGTTGAAACTGTGTCTATGTCCACTAATTAGAATATGTCAAATTATTTGTACATTTGTAGTTGAAAATAGAATTTATTTCCCAGTGGAATAGGATGGGATTATTGTATTTTCGCGAGTGAAATAAATTTCAGATTCAACTACAAAACATTGAATTACATGTTTATTACATTTTCTTAGATCTTCCCTCTGCCCTTTTTTCCTTTTTTTTGGTAACACAGTGTCATTAAGCTATGGAGTCATAGTTGAGTTGTTGATACCTCATAGAAATATAGTAATATTTGATTATAGATTTCAACAGCATAATTTGCGAAACCTAGGTTATTTTATACTCTGTCAAGATTTTTATACTCTATCGTTAAACGGGTCATAGAGTTATTTTATTTAATACTCTTGATGATTGAAAGCAAAATGGATCTTTGTGATTTTCTGAATTTTTTACACTGTGACAGAATATCGTTTTAGTATATTTTGACAACGTGACAGGATAACACTTTTATTCCCTAAATACATTACAAAATGTCACCGTTTAAATGTACTCAATAAAGTATGTTTTTAGAATTTCATTTGCAGTGTAGCCCATACATAATTGACATAATAGTCATTATAAATAAATGTTATCTTTACAAATAAAAAAAAATACCTAAGCTTTATGATACTGTTTATCTATATATATTTACATTTCCAAATACTTTTCTTTAAAAATTTTGGTCGGCCATTTTGGCCTTGCCCTACCCCGGGGGTCATGATTTGAACAAATTTGAATCTACACTACTTGAGCATGCTTCCATATAAATATGATGAATTATGGCTTTGTCATTCGTGATAAGGAGATTTTAAAGTATTTTATATATATTTCTTTGGAAAATTTTTGTCGGCCATTTTGGCCCCGCCCTACCCCCGGGGGTCATGACTTGAACAAACTGGAATCTAAACTACCTGAGCACGCTCCCATATAAATATGATGAATTATGGCTTTGTCATTCTTGAGAAGAAGATTTTTAAAGAATTTTCCTATATATTTCTATGCAATACTTTGGTCGGCCATTTTGGTCACCGCCCTACCCCCGGGGGTCATGATTTGAACAAACTTGAACCTAAACTACCTGAGCATGCTCCCATATAAATATGATGAATTATGGCTTTGTCATTCTTGAGAAGAAGATTTTTAAAGAATTCCCTATATATTTCTATGTAAAACTTTGGTCGGCCATTTTGGCCCCGCCCTACCCCTGGGGGTCATGATTTGAACAAATTTGAATCTATACTACATGAGCATGCTTCCATATAAATATGATGAATTATGGCTTTGTCATTTTTGAGAAGAAGATTTTTCAAGAATTTTCCTTTATATCCTATGTAAAATTTTGGTCGGCCATTTTGGCCCCGCCCTACCCCGGGGGTCATGATTTGAACAAATTTGAATCTACACTACCTGAGCATGCTCCCATATAAATATGATGGATTATGGCTTTGTCATTCTTGAGTAGAAGATTTTTAAAGAATTTTCCCATATATTTCTATGTAAAACTTTGGTCGGCCATTTTGGCCCCGCCCTTCCCCGTGGGGTCATGATTTGAACACATTTGAATCTATACTACCTGAGCATGCTTCCATAAGAATATGATGAATTATGGCTTTGTCATTCTTGAGAAGATTTTTAAAGAATTTTTCCTATATATTTCTATGTAAAAGTTTGGTCGTCCATTTTGGCCCCGCCCTACCCCGGGGGGTCATGATAAATCTACACTACCTGAGGATGTTTCCCCATAAGTTTCATCTTTCCTGGCACAGTGGTTCTTGAGAAGAAGATTTTGAAAATATGCCACCAAATTTTCTTTAATTCCCAATTATCTCCCCTTGAATGAGGGCGTGGCCCTTTATTTGAACAAATTTGAATCCCCTTCACCCAAGGATACATTGTGGCAAGTTTGGTTGAAATTGGCCCAGCGGTTCTTGAGATGAAGTCGAAAATGTGAAAAGTTTACAGACAGACAGACGGACAGACGGACGTCGGATAAAATGTGATCAGAAAAGCTCACTTGAGCCTTCGGCTCAGGTGAGCTAAAAATGACAGTTGAATAGCAGAAATTTTGTGACACCTCATCAGAATAATTATGAAGATATGAGAAATGAATTTCATTTTTGAAGATTCACGAGGTACATGAACTACAACGCTTAAGGTAAGTCACTCCTCAAATTTGTTATATCAAGGATTTTTTGGGAAGTATATTTTGGATAAGTCCTCATATAGTATGACTCAAAATCACAGAGAAAATAGGGGGTCAGTGTGCATCTTACTGATCTATGGTACAATTAAGTTGACCTTTTTGCACTTAAATCTTAACTCTTTGATTTATTACTTTATCTTTAATTTTATTTTATCAGATGTTACTACGTTAATAAATTTAATCTTATTTTACATAAAATAGTTTGAATAATATTTATCACTGAACAAATCTTGCAAATTAATGCGCGTTTATTATTGTGTGACCTTTTTGCACTAAAAATTAACATATTTGGGGTATTAAAAAACTAAATAGGCAATAAAATATTTTCTTATATTAAGTTTTTTAGGAGTTAAGTGCTAAACAGTCACAAGTATCTAGTAGTTTAAAATAATGAGAGAAAAAGTTGGGGTCAGTGATGTTAATTTTGAAATATTGGTCAAAATATGTGATTTTCAGGCAAAAAATGGTATAAATTTTATCTTGACTTCTTTAATATATCTTCACTTCTTGGCAAAGTTTGTTGAAGGAAGGCGTAAAACTTGTTCTAAAAATATAAATTAAGACCTATATTAAATATTCCTGCAAAAGCATGACGGGAAATATTCACCGAGTAAAAGTATGTGAGGCTAAAGTTTCAAGACATTAAATTTAATAAATGTGCAGATTTGCAGAAATTTCTGTTGAATATCCTTCCACCATAAAAAATAGTCCCTCACTAATTTTGCTTCTTTGTAGATTTTTAAGCATTTTTTTCGATGAATGTTAAAAAATATACATTGTTGAATATAAATATTTTATAAAAATTGAATTTTAATAAATATTTTTTAAGTAAGAGGTTCTGCGTGAACTTTTCTAAAAAGCTGACGAGTGACTTACCTTAACGCCGGCATTGTAAATTTTCTGATGAACTATACCATGGGTGATCATGAATATCTCAATTGTTACGTCATAGTACCACACTTGTCAAAAGTATAGTGCAAACTGTTTTGCTTTAAACTGACAGTTGAATGGCAGGAATTTTGTGACACCTCATCAGAAAAATAATATAAATATAAAATATGAATTTAATTTTTGAAGATTTATGAGGTATATGAACTACAACGTTTCACGCCGACATATTAACCATTAAGCGCTAACGCGCTTCATGAAACATGTCGGCGTGAAGCGTAACTGGAATGTAAACCCTCATCCTTTAGATTCGTAAGTGCTTCATCCCAATCATTTGAAATTGAATTGATATTTCTCTCACTTGTTACATAAAAATTAAATTCATTTCTTAATTGAGTTCGGTGTCTTATCCAGAAAATACCTATGACAAAAAATGATTATCTCTTATTACCACGGTTCTTGTCAGACCAGGAAAAATTAGTTTGATGACTTCAATCAGATTGATATTCTTCATCTTCACCTAAATCATCAGGAAGAAATAATAGAAACGTAAGTGATATCGCAGTAACTTAATCAATTGTTAATGTAGTTGAAGTGTTTCTTTTCTGACCGAACACTTTATTCCATGGTTTTGTATTTTTGGCAAGGCTAATGTAATGAAAGTCCATGAGGATAATATATTTCTGGTTTAAATATGTTTAATTATATTCTAAGCATAATAAACATATATATTACAAAAAAATAAACCTCATAACAAACAATATACACAAATCAAAAAATCCATCATTCATGCGTTTGCGTAACCTTTTTATCTAGAATCGGAAATATTTCAAGAAAATGCATGATCCATTTCAACGTAACAATTTAACTTTAACTTTTTGCATTTTTTAAATTCTGCGGCAGCTAGAAAGAGATTGACATCTGAATCTATACACATCCTATAAGGTCGATACTTAAACTCAATGAAACGTCGAAAATCGCCATTGTGTCTAAAATGTGCACGCAGTAATTATTATAATCTCCAATGAGAAAATAAATAGGGTATTCAACTTCTACTGATTTCTGTATGGCTGGGACAGGAGATTCGATTTCTGGTGACTTGTTTTCAAGTGACAGAGGGGAAGAAGTTTCTATAATTTCTGTTTGCCTGAAGATGGCAGCAAGTTCGTCGTTTGTGGTTTAGGTGGGACTCGTGGAGGGAATCCAGTATTGAAGTAATATTTTGAGATGTGTTCTGTTTTTTTTAATGTTTGTAACTGTGACACTCTCATTCCGTCAGCTTCAGATTTGAGTTTCGAGACATGTTGCTCAATTTTCTCGTGCAGGTTTTTTTCATGTTGTGTTATGGTTGTTGAGAAATCTTCATATTCCTTCTCTAACTGACTTATTTTGTTCTGAACATCAGAGGCAATTTCCTTGTATGTTGAATAGATTCTTTTTTGAAATTCAATTTGGTCCTTTTTTATCATATCTTGCTTTTCACTAAGAACTTGCAAGGTTTTTGTTAACGTATGACTTTTGTGATTATTAGTTGCTAAGCAACTATGACAGACGGGAATATCACAGTGTTTGCAATACATTGCACATTTTTCTTTCTCATGTGTGGTACAATCAGGATAGAGTACAGTAGTATTCCTATTCTGAAAATTGACCACCTTGTGATCCTTGAAATCCTCTTTTGAAATGTGTTCTCCAACACAGGGCTTACACAGATTGGCGAGGCATGTATCACTGTGCATCTGTACTATAGTCTCACACAGATCACATCGCATCAGGTCCTGGGCAGTGGTACGGGGATACATCACTTAGATCTTACGGAACTGTCATAAAAGTACTTGTTGTTTTTAATTGAAAGCTATAAAATTGATTTTCATTTTAGTAATATTATGAATGATTTGGAGATAACAAACAGTATTCATGATCAAAATCCATTAAACAGTAAAAAAATAGGCAGAGCAAACGCGGATCTTCAAAACATAAGAGGTGGGATCAGGCCATGGAGGAGTGAGCATCCCCTGCTGACCGGTCACGACCGCAGAGTGCCCCTTGTCATGATCGGGAAATAACAGGGAAAACCCGCCGTCAAATCAGGTATAATTTATGGTAATAACAATAGGTATTTAAAACAAACATCAGTCAGCAGTCGACTCAATGATAAATTTTATTTGCTGGGATTCATTGGTAATTCATTACATGTAGTTGTGGATTTTTCCCCTTTCACATTTCATTTTAAGTAATGGATACTTATGGTTAACTCTTAAACTTAAAAAGTGGACATTTCATAAAGTTTAAAAATAGTTCTGTAATGCAAAAAAGTATTTTAAAAACTTATTATATAAATCCTATTAGATGAAGATTGTTTATCTAAACATTTATCAATATAACAAGGTGAAAATTACGTATTTAGATTCCTTTAGTCAAAATATCCTTCATACTACATGAAGATTGAAAAATTAATTCAAGCATGTACAAATACTCAAACAAGTTGTTAGTTTTTAAGGATTTAAGTGCATAAGGTTTATTGACAGGTATAAACATTAGTAATTGAAAATATTTTGCAAAGATTAACACTTCTCTCTAAAAAAAAAAATGTACTCACTAATGGATATTTGCGGAATAGCGTTCAGTGGACAACAGACGTTAGACTCCACACTTTTTAAATAAAGGGGGCATCTCAAAGTGAAGAATTTATAATTCACCTTTACTTTTAAATTAATATTGAAATAACATTTGATATTATGGATATCAATAAACAACATACTTTTGCAATATTTATAGATAGGAAATGAGGAACACTTGGATTACTTTAATGTTTCAGTAAGTCTCCTTGGAATCAGAACTCGCCACGAAAATGTATTTTCCTTTTCTCCTGCAGGTACGATAAGGCTTCCCAGAGAATATTGTAGTGTACTCTCTGCATGAACCTCTCTGAACTACAAATGTATGACGTCATAATTAGATATGACGTCCCGTCACTACATATTTGAACTGTAATGATGGCCGGGAGAGTGTCATATACTTTACATCTTATTTCAATTTGCATATGAAATTGCAGAATTCTAGTGTAAAATAAACGTGGTTGTATCATTTTTTTCAGAGTCTAATATATCCGAATTATTTTAGTGTATAAAAGACCCTGGTGCAGGCTGTTAATTAGGATTTTTAATATCTTTTGTGGAAATATGTACGGGTTTCCCCTCTAACTGAATCCTGCTTGGGAAAAGTTTATAATGGTTTTGTTTTAAAACAGAATTAAAAAGTTAGATTAAAATAAATTGTTCCAAAGAAATAGTACTTTTTCCAAGCACATTTTGGTTTCACAAGGATAAACGAGTTTATTTATGTGACAAAATGTTAATAATAATTGTGTTTATAACCTGCGCCGAAGCAATTTATGTGAAACATTTCAAAAAAGAAAAAAATGACCGTCTTGTGATAAACAGGGTCATTTGACATCGTAACAAATATGTTTATACATGACCTAGAGGATTCTCTGTATGATTTGGCAAATGTCCAATAGAAGAGGAACTTCCATTTATATTTAAGAAATACGCCTTCGGGCTTTATGGAAGATTTGATCATGTGCCAACCCATTTTACATCCCAATAAAACTAATAAAATGATACCTTATTACTTATATTATATATATATTTATATTTGAGACTTATTTATTACAGATAGTAACGTACTTAACTATAGTTTGAAACCCATAACGTTTTTTGTCAAAACTAATGATCAAGATCAACGGTATAAATTGAATATGTTTATAACGGTGATCGCTTATGACGTCAATATTAAACTACGTAAATCGTTTATGACTAAACAATCACTTTATGGTCACATGACGAATTTGTTTAACAGAGATGTAAAATCACCTTGTTCAAATAGTTTTACATAAGGGAAAACAAATGTAAATATTTATTTATTTATTTATTCATTTATTTATTTATTTATAGTATTTCTTTTTAGACTTAAGGACACATGATACAAACAAACTTTTGTCAAAAAAATGAATATAACAAGTTGGGTCATGTTCAAATGTGTTAATTGAATAACTTTCAAATTTTTAAATTTTTTATTCAAATTTGAACAAAAATTAAATTTGAAGTTAAAAACATTTGTATAGATTGATAAGAATGGTTTCAACAGAGCATACCTTTGAACATCACAGAAGCTTTACAATTTCTTTATTTTCTAGAAATTTATTATTTGCATCATTTGCAATGAAATTAAGCCAAAAAATATATTCCAATCCGGACATCCATTCTTTGCTTGTATCATCTGTTCTGAATTGTTTATAATGCTCATTAAATGTGCTTTTATAACAGTAATGAATATAGTATGAATAATGTATGGTAATTCGGTAATTTTATTCAAATGTATATATCAATAACAAGTAAACGTTGTTTTACTCTTATTCAATTTTTTGTCAGGGAAAAAGGGCAAAAAAGTTATTCAGTTTACTGTCGAAGGATTTTAATTTTTGTTGATTTCGATCAAAAGTTGAATCAAATGTAAGCTGGTCAGAATGATAGAAAATCCTCATCAGAATAAATCACTAAAACAATTTAAAAATCTTTATTGAAAAGAAAAATGGCTAAGAAGATACAGCTCAGAAAAGTAGTGTCCAGAGTTTGTTTCAACTTGAAGAAATCCTTCATAAAACCATCATATGTTGTGAAATGCATTCCCAAGATATAGAATGTATTCAACAAAAAGCATGATTGCTTAAGGGTCTTTTCATTTTGTCGCTTACGTTGCGTAGCAGTCAGAGTATTCACTCTAACGATTCAGGGTAAGGCGTTGATCATAACAGGTATGAATGTAACTGTGGGGATTGAAGATAGGTACTTTTAATGAAACAAAATACATCTAAACCGATACTTCTTGCAGTTTTAGATACTAATACAAAAAAGATCTCTCACTGCTTAATAACCCTCAACGTTGCCGCGCATTTTCGACTATTATAGATTCTACAGCTGTAAAGACATTGCATTTGGATCAACCCTCGTACAACAACGAGTAGAACAGTTGTCCTGTTGGCAGGAAATCTATAATTTTCCTACACACCTAATCCCATGCTGCTATGTAAAGCAGATGTCAGTTAATGGTTCGGGAAAAAATTATAAAGGCATTTTGAAATGGCAGATTATCAATGAATAGGTGCTTATTCATTTTTTAATCAACTCAAAAATACTTTTCTTCTGATAAAAATTTAATGAATAATTATTAATGTAGAAATCAATCAATTAATAATGTATAAATAAATAAAAGTCCAATTTTATCGCTATGTCAGAACATACAAAATATAAGTAGAGCAAATGCCGACCTCCAGATCATCAGAGGTTGGATCAGGTGCCATGGAGGAGAATGAAGCATTACTGAGATGATGTTTCTCGGTATTTTAACATACAGTTTTTCTGACCCTAAGGAGTGGGACAAACATTTATTTTATAGAGAAAGTACAAGAAAATGAAACAAGCCGGGTTTGAAAAAAAATTGAGGCATATTTTCATTGCAGTTTTCATAACCTTAAATTTAAAATGTGCAATCTCATTTCGACCGTAATAAGACACACTTGCATGGTGATATTCAAGAATCACAGTAGTGTTGTTCTGATTACAAAATGAATGTGGAGGAGTAAATATGAAACTCTCAAAACATCAAAAATGGTATGCTAAAGTGGGTCAAAAATCACTAGAGGGGTGACCTGATAAAATGGAGGAGCAAAATCTTCTTGCAAACTGACAAATTTCCTGTATGCCAATTGACTCGGTCAGGTAAACATTGCAACCCATGAACAATTTTAAAGCTTGAGATCCATAGATGTCGTAACTTTTTACAATAAAAATCATTGTATCAACAATATTAATGATTTGAAAAAATATTTTTAAGTCTGTTTTTGCATTTTCAGGTGTTTTGAATATATTTTTAATTGCATAATTATTTTTCACTGCAAGTATTTGATTTTCTTCACGTGGCTTAGTGGGAAAAATGCTTTTAAATCTGTTACAGCAACAAAAAGATTATCGTCTGAATCTGTAGACAATCCATATGGTTTATGAACTCGTAGACTTATGGACTTTAGAAACTGTCCATCTTGGTCCATAACCTGGACACAAAAATTATCATGATCAGCTATAAGAATGTTACATTGACTGTCTGTTGTGATTCCTTTTGGATTGAATGGTTTGCTATCTGGACCAGAAAAAATGCCAGTATATTTGAATCTCCGTTTTCCTGCCTGATTTACTACCACTACTGCTTTAGCTCCACAGTCAGATACACAGATATCATGGTTATTGTTCTCGCATATGTATTTATCAGAACAACGAGAGGAATAAAGAGGTAAACCTTTATCATCAAACTGAATGTTTTGTTTCTCTCCAGCGAAGGGATGTGGAGTTCTTTCTATGAAAACATTATACCGCACAACTTTTGATTGTGTTTTATCATCACTTTCCATGGTAACCAAAACGTCACCAGCGGAGCTTGTACAGACAGCCTGAGGTCTCCAGGTCTTCAATTTGATCAACACATAATCTTTTTCACATAGAATGTTCACAGTTTTGCTCTGGTAATCGGTATAAAGTAGATATCCATCTCTTGCAATTGCTATGTCTGTTGGGTTTTTCCTTGACTTTGTTTTAATTGACTTAATATTTAGTACAGAGCCTTGTTTGATTCTGTACAGTGACATGGTATTGCTTTCTCCACATTTCCAAAACTCGTCATAACCAAGACATGCGATATTTGTCTCGATGCCAAAAAACTCCATTCCACTGAAAATATCTGGATCAAGCAGCAATTTGCGTAAGTTTTGGGATTTATGTTCTGATGATTCCTGTTTGTCTGGTGGAGAAACTGCAGCGTCTGATGAATTCAGAGAGACGGTAGTTGGGGAAAAATTGTGCCTTGATTTTCGCTGGACTAAAGCAACGGCATCAACGTCCTGTGATTCTTTTATTTTCTTTAATCTGTAATTAGGCCCTTCCTCCGTAAGAGAAACTGATGATAAATCCCCAAAAACTTTATAAAATTCTCTCCCTTTGATTTTGCCTGGATTGAATTTAGGAACAGAGGGTAAAAGGTTTTGTGGAAACTTTTTATATTTATTTACATTGCAGTCCACCCTTAAAAGTATTGACAGGTCATTAGAGTCTACAGCACTATCAAGTGTGTCAATATCACCTTTAATCTGAACAATGTTTTCGTTGATTTCATCCAAATGATTTTCGAAGATGTGTAACTGTGAGGTCTTCATTTCGCATATTTCAGCTTTAAATTTATTGACGAGATTGTCAATTTTTCTGTGCAAGTCTTCTCCACGTTTTGTTATGGTAGTTGAAAGTTCTTCATATTCCTCATCTATTTGACGTATTCTGTTTTGTACATCAGCTGCAATGTCCTGATAGGTAGGATATATGAACTCATTTAATTCATTTAGAGTTTTCTTTACAAAGTCTCTCTTTTCGCCCAAAACATTAAAGATGTTTGATAATTTGTGTCGAAAGTGTTCATCAGATGCAATGCAAATGTGACAGACAGGAATATCACAGTGCTTACAGTACATTTCACATCGTTTTTCTCCATGTGAGACACATCCAGGGTAGAGAGGAGTGAATTTCCTTGACTGAAATTTTACAACTTTATGATTCTTAGATTTGCTAGTTGAGATGTGTTCTCCAACGCATGCCTTACACAGGTTGACACCGCATGTATCACAGTGCATCTGAACGACAGCCGTCTTACACATAAAACAGAGCATTATATCTTGATCAAGGGTATCCATAACCGGACGTTGTGGATCTGAAAAACATGAAAAGTTTAGTATTTGATTATACATATTTGAATGATCGTCATTTGAGAAATTAATTTGATTGTGATTTGTTTAATCTCATAAATGCTTGGAAGTACCTCTTTCACGTGGAAGTTAGAAAGTAAATTTAAGAGATCCTAATTATACCCCCGCTTGAAAAGCGAGATTGTATATACTAATCGTTGTCGGTCTGTCTGTTCTTTCGTCTGTCTTTCTGTCCGTCCGTCTGTTACGCTTTGGGGTACCCATCTCTTATTCACAACATCTCTCATTCCACTTAGTGAAATTTAATGAAACTTTCCCACAATCTTTAAATGATCTTATTTAATTATGAAATACAGTTTAGTTGTGAATATTACTTCACCTACCACTCATTGTATGCAATCAGCATCAAATGTAGCAGAATGAAGTCACCGCAATAATTTTTTTTCTTTTTTTTCTAAGTTAATTTTAAATGACGATTAATCAGCATAGTAAGTTTTGTTATAGTCATCTATATATTATGAAATCGTTCATCTTTATATTTTGTGATATTCATGAGAAATTTCAGTTTTGTGTGACGTCAACATTAATTAAATGATTTGTTCACTCAGTAGCGACGATATTGTTTGCCTGTGAAGAGCTTCAGAATTAGACAAATATTCACCTTACGGGGAAATTTAGCTATCAGGTTAATATCTAAACAACGCCCATCATGACAAGGGACATATAGTTCCAAGTCATATAAAAGACCTCTAACTGTTAATTCTTATTTCTGGTGCATGGCGAAGGGTTATCAAAACCTATTTATGCGTCGTAGGTTCATATACAGAACGGTCAACAAGACTAGAAATCTGGTCATGAGTAAGAAACGAACGTCTTACGACCAGACTACCATCATTGATATTTTTCGTAATATGACATTCTTGTTGTAGACTAAACTGTAATGCTAAGCTATTTATCAGTAATACCCTTTCCGCTGACTTAGAAAGCGTTGTAAAAGTTAATATTCGTACAGATTGGGAAGACTATTGCAGAAATATAGAGTTTAGTACTCAATCAAAATATTTTAATCTTTTGCCATATAAAGAAAAGAAAAACCTGTAGACTCAGGGAATTTACAAGGAAAAATAGTGCACTTTTTCAATAAAAAAAAAAGAATTTGAAATCTACCTTTACTTTATGACTGCACTCATCACCGACGAAAATCACACAATATAGCAGCTCACATGACACTCACGTTATCAATGTGTCAGCTGTGATACATAAATACAACAAAGGTTGTTTGAGACAGATAAATATCTATCTAGCTTGATAAAGCAATGATCCAGTCCCGCGTTATTTTGTTATTCATATTAAATTGTGTTTATGTGTAAACATTTCCTACTGATCTTTTAATTAAGGTTTTAATCATGTACATGTATATCCCAGATATGAATCTGTGCACCAAAATTTTTATTGTACTTATTAAAATGTGTGGAGGTAAGAAGCAGTTTACAAGCTCAAAAGTCCATTAAACATTACAAATTAAGAAGGCAGCAAACACGGCCCTCCATAACATAACATACGGGATCAGATGCCATTGAGGAGTGAGTATCTCCTACCAAACGGTCACACCTGCCTGTGCTCCTTGTCATGATCGGGAAATAACTGGAATATACGTCCGCAGGTAGGTTAAGGTTACAACCAAATATTCTACTTGCCTATATGATATGACGTCATAGTAAGCTATATGACGTGAGGTTTAGAGATAATAATTTCTTAAAATCGATATCTAAGATTGATTTGAAGTCGTAAAAATGAATCAAAATATGCAGAGGCATACTGTAAACGGAATTTTGTCGTTCCTGGGCCTCTGTAGTTATCACAGGGGTTACATACCAAACCCGTGACGTCATAACTGTTGATCATGCAGTAGCAGAGTGAAACTGGATCGTAACGAGAATTGATGTAAACAAACACAAGAAATTGGAGTTTAAAAGCATTTAGAATGAATATCATGTGTGATTCTTGTGGGAATAAAGCGTATGAATAAGGTATGGTAATATAATTTTGCAATTTCCTCGTAGAATTTATAGCAGGGAGGGTGTTTACATGCTGATCAGCCTTTCCTCTGTCGTTCGTAACAAAAAAGATGCAAAAGTTCAACACTATGCCGCATACCTTGAAACTTAATTTTTGTTTCTATCTAAAGTTCTTATTCTTTTGTTTTTGAAAAGTGCTGCTAGAATCGTATGGTTTACGGGAATTGATACTTTTTTTTCAATGTTATGAACAATATGTAAAAATTTTGGGAAGGTTCCGTCCGAAATTGTTGAATAATTACTTCTATAATAGGAGAGTACGATTCTAGCAGCACTTTTCATGGTACAGAGATGTTTTTACATAACTATTATTACAAATGGAAACTAATTATCCCTGGGGTAGTGTTAAACTTTTCACTTTTTCATTAAGGCATATTTTCTATTTATAGACGTCACGTGGTGACGTCTTGGTGAAGTGCCTCCTGTAGTATAAGTGCCTTTGAAGTCTATAGAATGCATAATTATAGCAAAAGTTTATCCTTAACTTTTCCGATTTATTAGTGTTACATAATTATAAAAAAGTGATAATTAGCCGAATTCTGATCCATGTGCTGCCTTTACATACCCGCGTCGACAATTCAGTGTACGGCAGAACAATTACCCCCCCCCCCCCCCCCACACACACACACACACACACTCCGGGTGAGTGTGAAAAAGCATTAGACTCAATCATAACTTGATTGAATTGTATTGTATAACTTGTTTGTCAATAACGTACTCGTTATAAAAATTGATCTTGCGTAGAACATGTTCTTGCGAATCGAATCAACTGAGAGATATACATGTGTACATTGTAAACTCCGTATGCAGTTGATGAAGGTGTATTGATGTATAAGTAAGGAAGTTGACGGTTGAAAAGTTAAAGTCATCTCGTTTATCATAAAGCTTATTTGTTAGATTACCATAAACGTCTTTTCAAGTAAAATACCTAGATATGAAACATATTTATCAGACTCTTTGGTATTTTTCATTTCAAGCTCAACGGGATATATCGTATCAACACAAGAATGGAAATAAACATTGTTTAATTGACAATACATCGTTTACATGTATATATATATACAGACCCTGAGACGTGCTACTACCCCAAAAAAGCGTGTGGCTTTCGTGCGCTTTCCGTTTCGTGCAAACCGTGTAGCGTTTCGTGTAAACCGTGCAGCGTTTCGTGCAAACCGTGTAGCGTTTCGTGTAAACCGTGCAGCGTTTCGTGTAAGCTCCAAAGCGTTTCGTGCAAACCGTGTAGCGAGCGTGCGAAAAGCGTGTGAGAAACGTGCGACTTTCGTGTAAGAACCGTGTGAGAAACGTGCGACTTTCGTGCAAGAATCGTGTAAGATTCATTCGGAAGTCATTTCATTTTAAATATGGCTACCGATGGGTCAGGATGTAAAATTCTATTAGTATTTTATAATTGAATTAGTTATGCTTGTGATATTATAGGAGTAAAAACAAAAAAAAAATGGAACAACAAAATTAAATTAAACGGTAATGTATGATTTATATTTGTTTGATTTCTTTTCCTTCTATAGAAAATGTGTTCAAATAAATCAGCTATGTACAACAATTTTAAGGGCATTGTATTTAATATACTACATGTATCAACGCGATCGTGGCTTCTTAAACATTTTTTCTCAAAGAAAGAAAGAAATACCGGTAATATTCTTTTTTTAATTTAAATCAAAAATATATCAGGACTCCGCTCTTGTCTTTACATTTGAAACGATGTGTCATTTAATATCTTTTAATACATAAAACTTGTTGCTCATTATTGTCAAAAAAATGAATTTTATAATTTTAATTCACGTGCACTGACGACCATATCTTTATAAACGAGGGGGGGGGGGGTGTTAAATTAAATTACTAGACAGTTCAGTCTTTCATTTTTTGTTGTAGCTTTCAATCTAATGTTAGTTAAATTAAATGCTTTATTTTCTATTCTTGTTTAAATTCGTTGTTAAATGTATGCGCAGATACACCCCTTATAAATGTATTGGAATCTTCTTTCCGCCTTTCAACTGTGATCAAGGTCATTTACAACAGCGATCACGGGCTCCGAGGGCATTGCAAATGAAAACCTGTTTTGCTATATGTACATGTTGAGTTCACGGCTTAATGACACCTGGAAATTACGACTGGATTTTTTTAAAAAATAAAATGGTTCTATAAGTATTTGATGGGTACAACTTATAAATCAGCGGATTTCATCTTTTATTTGTAAATCCGAATTTCTAGCCGTAAACAGTAAAATAAACAGAACTGATATGGTAGTCTTTATATGAATATCATGTAAGAAAAGCTTAGGAGTAAATCATGAATAATTGTATATTATTTGTTTAATAAATCACGTACTTTTTATTTCATCTAAGATATTTCAGTTTTCTTGTAATATACCTGAATGCCAGTGTAAAGATCGATCTATATTGTATGTACAATGTATAGTCTAATGCCGCGACTATTAATAAATGTACACATACAAACATACTTTTAGTCCTGTTTTGAAATGAAGGATTTTACAGTATGATGGGTATACTGATGTAATTTGATAAGCTTCATGTAAAAAGAGAAAGAGAATAGAATAGATTAATAGATCACATTAACCCCCCCCCCCCCCTTTACGCCCTTTACCGGTTTCCCTCCTATTGATAATGCTTGCGTAAAAAAATCTTTAAAAATGTTTCAAAAATCGTTAGTAGAGTATATAGGCAAATTTAATTTATAATTTAAAATCAAAATAAAAAAAAATAATCCGCCTACGGAAATCAAACACATGCAATATAATCAATATTATTAAAAATCAATGAGTTTATATTCCTGCGGTGAGAAATCGAATTTGTGTTCAATTTATTAAATCAATTTATTAAATTATACTCGTAAAAATATTACATTGAAATGAATGAATAATACCTGTATATAAAAATTGTATTTTATTAAACAGTCATTTACGATATCGGCATTTCGTTTTTAAACAGTTGGATAATAAATAAATAAATTCGAACTGACAATTATTTATCAATTAATTACAACTGTCAGAGTATTGAATATTTCTATCGGTTTTTGTAAAACAAGTGTACTAAATTTAATTTAAACAGCTGCTTAATGTGGTTTTTGAGCGATTTTCATTGAATTAATGATAAAGCGGTAAAAATACCCGGGATATTCCGAGTAGAAAAATCCAAACCGAGGCCAAACCGTGCGAGAATCGTGCACAAAGCGTGTGAGAAACGTATACAAAGCGTTTCGTGCAGCCTTTCGTGTAAACCGTGCAGCCTTTCGTGCAAAGCGTTTCGTGTAAACCGTGTAGCGTTTCGTGCAAACCGTGTAGCGTTTCGTGTAAACCGTGCAGCGTTTCGTGCAAACCGTGTAGCGTTCGTGTACCGTTCGTGCAGCGAGCGTGTGGGGTAGTAGCACGTCTCAGGGTCTGTAAATAACTAGTTGAAAGCCAATGTATTGGAAATTGCAAAATTAACCAAACAGAGCAATGCTGGAAAAATCTCCTTCTGGAAAAGCAAAATGATTTGAGATTTAGATAAATTCCTCATAGATCAGGTAGTTTAAGTGAGAGAAACTTCAGTTTCCAGTTTCTTTGCATATTTAAATTGCTTTGTTTGACATCATTTATGCTGAATTGTATTTGAATGAAAATAATTATTCAAAGAGTTATTCTTCCTGGTTAATAAAGTAAAGGATTTCCTTAAAATTATTTAGGATTCTATGTTCAAGGACAACTATTGAATATTTGGTATACAAAAAGTGAATTTGAAAGTTATCCTTAAAAGTTTATAATTACACTCCTTAAGTTAACGACCAAAATCTAACTGCTCACATGACACTCACGTTATCAATGTGTCAGAAGTGATACATAAATACCTACCAAGGTTGATAGAGCAATCCTTGGTAATGGTTTGTAAGTGGACTTTTTCGAAGAGCGCTGACTTTTTCAGTTGACAAAATACTCTAGGACAGTGTACGGAAGCTCTTTTACGATGTGAATATTTCTCTCAACATTTAATTCAACGAAAATAACGGGCTTTTCCCGGGCACATAGCAACAGTGCTACTCTTTTCCAAACATAACTTTCACTATTGAAAATGTTCATTGAAAGGCTTGTTGTCCCCCACCCCCACCCCCCAATTTTTGCTACAGTAAATAAATATAAGGATTATGTATTATTGTATGCAAAAAAATTGTACTGAAAGAAATAAGTATTGAAAAAGTTGACCTCCACCCATTCCTCCCCACAAAATGGGATTACTGAGTTTGGGCAATGACAAATGTGTTCTTTTTGCTTGTCAACTTTTCAGGTAAGTAAAGTTTATTAACTTTTCAGGTAAGTAAAGTTTATTTTCTCTGGCTGGCCCTCTTCTCCTTGAAGAAAACAACAATTGTCCTAATAGTGAATATGAATAAGCATTGTTGTTTTTTAATATTTACATCATCAAAATGAAATTTTTTGCATGAAAAGTTTTTTTTTCGATTTCAAGCATAATTTTGAGATTTATAGAATTAAAAATATCAGTTAATCAATGAGTTTTCCTTCCTGGCTGTGGAAGGGATATACTTAAAAACCTTCTTAGGGTTCTGTCTACGTACAAGTGCAAACATTGTAATTTTGGTATAAAAATGGACGTACCGTTCACGGTAGCTCAGTCGGTAGATCGCTCGCTCCGTGATCGCGAGGTCGTGAGTTCGTATCTGGGCCGCAACTGACCTAAGTCGATAAAAAATGGGAAGCAACTTCCTTCGCCATGCGCTCGGCACTTTGAAGTGAAAGTTGTGCTTCGGATGAGACCTTAAAAACCGAGGCCCAGTGTCAGCGGCAGGCGTTGGCACAATAAAGATCCCCTCACTACTCAATGGCCCTGAGTACCGAGTAAAGGTCAAAATTTGAAGCCCTTCACCATCATACAGTGACGTCTCCATATGAGTGAAAAATTCTCGAGAGGGACTTTAAACAATATACAAACAAACAAAAAATGAATGTAAAAGTCACCATTATTTTATGATTGCACTCCTAACCGACTAACCGCTCACATGACACTTACGTTATCAATGTGTCAGACGTGATACAAACATGTTCTTATCAATCGAGGTTGATGAAGCAATATTTCTGTACACGGTTTTGTTTGTTATTCCTATCAAATTGAGTTTATCTGTAAACATTTCTTACTAATCTTTCTATTAAAGTTTAAGTCATGTAAATCCCAGATATAAATATGTGAACTAACATTTCCATTTTTTTTTACGAAGGTAGATTAAGTAAACATTCGAATCATGAAATTTTTATAATTTATCGAGGCTGCTAATAAAACGTAAACTATCATCAACTATGCTTATTTCAATAATACAAGTTTCTTATGTAAAAATGCACCATCACTATACTGTAGAATAATTCATGAAACTAAATAAGCACACCTGTTAAATAAACTTACGCTGCATATGAATCATGAATGATATTCACGGCATTTGCTTCTGACCCCCCCCCCCCTTGTGTATCTTTGAACGTGACTTCTAGGACAATCTGCTCTAAAGTCGCGAAGTAAGCAATCGATTCTTACCTCGCGGGTTCGAATCCCACTGTTGGACGTGGGTCGTTCGGATTAGGTCGTATATACCAAGTTCCTGTGTCAATGGCTGTAAGTGCCAAGTAAATGACAAAATTTGCAGCTTTCCTTTGGAGAGTGATGGCGTCTCCATATGAGTGAAAAATTCTCGCAAGAGACGTTAAACAACATACAATCAATCAATCCTCTTTATACAATATGATCAATCTCCAATTAAAACGTCATCGGTACTGGTATTATCTAAGTGACAGATACAGCATAACAAAGTAAAATCATTTTATTTTTGTTCATATTTACATGTTTCTATTCATTTTCTGGTATAAATTACACCTCAAAATACCAATATCATTAAAACTCGTGTTCTAAAACTGACAACATCTCACCCTCTATGACAAGAATTATTAAGAATATCAATGTTTTAACACACCCCGTTAAAAAAAACATCAACACTGGTATAAAAAACCTTTCTCTGAGAATAGAAATAATTTGTAGTTTCTAAAAGTCCCCCTCGGCCATTTCTATAATTATGCTTAGATCAGAGAAAATCTAGTTCCACTGCATACTTCAAATGTTCTGTTTGACACTATGCATTCTTAATGAATTTGTAAAACAAGCAAATGACCTTTATTTCCGTGTCATGCCCTGTAAGTGATAAGTGAAAATGCTGCCAGGGAAGAACCAAGGCAGCATGTCTATAAGAGCAAAATACCTCTATAGAGATAGTGGTCAGCAAGACAGATTCGATATCGCCGCTGAGATAACGTTAACGCGACATTGTTTCATATAAAATACTCATAATAACGATTTTTGAGTGTAATGCATATTGCTGATGCCTTTCTAAAAACACACTTCACTGCTTTTCTAAATATTAAAACATTTTTTTACGTTTACAAAGTCAAGAAAAATGTATTTAAAAAACTGAGGGAGAATGTTTTTAATACTAGTACGTTGGCGTATTGTAGAGGACCCTCTTGACGGAGTTTTGGTACATTGGATGGAATATATCTTCGGACATCCTACATTGCCGTAGATTCAAAATCTGGCGATTGATGTTCATCTGTTGGAGTGTTTCTGCTGGAAAATTCTCTGAGACTTGAGAAGAGGATCCGGCTTCTGATTCTGTTGGCTCATGTGTGACTTTTAAGCTGTAACCATGCTTTTCTGTTGTAATATTAAATGCTGATAAAGTTCAAACAAATTTTGAAATTTTTTTCATTTTGAATTTTCCCTGGAGTGAATTTGGGTGCATTGGGGATAAGCTTACTTGGAAGCCTTTTATGTTGATCTACTTTGGAACCAAGTTATTCTTGTAAAATTGTTGAATAAGTATATGGAAACTAAAGCGTTATCAATTGAATCAATTTCATCATCGATCTCATTAAGTTTCCTGTTAATATCCTCCAAATGATTCTGTAAAGTGTTTAACTGTTTGATTTTCAATTCATTTGTTTTAGCTTTAGTTTTATTGAAAAGTTTGTCAATTTCTTTGTGCAGGTTATCTTCTTGAATGCAATGGCTGTTGAAAGATCTCCATATTCCTTCTCCGTCTTTTCGTTATTCCATTTTTTTACATCTGATGCAATGCCCTGGTAGGTTGGATATATTATTTCCTTTAATTCATTTTGCTTTGTTTTAATCTTTTCTTTCAGAATTTCGATTTTTGATAAATCACGATTATAATGTTGACAAGATGCCAAACAGGTAAGTCACAGTTTGTACAGTACATCTCACATCGTTATTGTCCATGAAAGGAGCATCCAGGATAGAGGGAAGGAGACTCAAACTTGACTACTTTGTTATCTACGGACTCCGATAAAATGTGGTTATTTCCGACACATGCCTTATAAAGGTTGACGCCGCATGTTTTACACGACATCTCTACCACAGCACTCTTACACGGGTCACACCATGTTACAACCTTGGGACTAGTATAGGGATTCATAATATTGAAGTTTTTGGATCTAAAAATACGAGAATATTGTGAATTGTTAATTAATATTTCATTAAATGCTCAATCAAGCCCCCTTTTTTACTCCTCACTAAGATATTGACAGTAGTGAAGGAGAAACTTCAAGAGTTTTATGCAAAAAAAAAAAAAAAAAAAAAAAAAATTGGTGGTGTAAATCAACTTTTGGCTAAATTGAAGTCACAAGATTTTACGAAAATCAACTTAGACTTTTTCACCTTTATATACCACCATTCTCCACGATAAAAGAAGTTCCAGCTCTTTGATATCATTGAGCTAAATATTTAAGAGATATAAGCTAATATACATTGAATACCTCATCTAGTCAGTAACCAGAGAAGAATCCTACCTAACATAGGTCCAAATTTGTATCCACCACCATTAGGATAACGCAAGAACGTTGCAAACATTTTTTGATGTACAAAAATTGTCTTTTTGCATTATAGCGTATTGGTTCATCGTATTTGAGACGGTTACTCGGGAACGTATGACCATACATTTATTACTGATATATGCATATTGATTAGAATACGAAAACAAGGTATTTGTTACATGTATTAACAAGGAAGAAATAAAACAAATATCGTTATTTGAACAACATTAGACAAAACAGCTAGCCTAAAGAGCACAACTTTTAAAACATGTTCAAAGTAACTATTTTTTCCCGGTTTTCTATTACAACCCTGGAAAAACTCTGCTTTTAACAAAATATTTAGGGAAATGACCGATAAAAAGTAATTAACTTCAGTACAGGTATCTGATTTTCTTCACGGTGTCTGGAGGCCACGATTTTAAAACTGTGACGGCAACAAAAAGATTGTCATCTCTGTCTGTGCACAATCTATAAGGTTGAATGTGTTCAAACTTTATGAAATGTAAGAACCGTCCATCCTTGTCAATGATATGGACACAATAATTATCATAATCAGCTGTAAGGATGTGACCTTGACTGTCTGTTGTGATTCCTGTCGGATTGAATGGTTTATTCTTTGGAGCAGGAGAGTGTCCAGTGTATTTGAATCTGAACTTCCCGGTTTGATTGACAACCACTAGTGCTCTAACTCCACAGTCAGCCACACAGATGTCACGGTTTCTGTTCTCACATATAAAGTTTTGAAAACCGCCAAAGATAAAGAGTGGGTTACCATCGTCATCAAACTGAATTGTTTGTTTTTCTAAGTAACCAGAATATCGGACAACTTTTGATTGTTTATGATCATCATTTTCCATGGTAATCAGTAGATCATCATCAAATGTGCTATATATACCCATTGGTCTCCAGTTCTGTAATCTGATCAACTCTTGAGTTTTTCCTTTTTTCACAATGTTTACGGTTCCATCCCCCTTATCAGTATAAATGAGATTTCCACTTTTTGTCACCGCTATGTCTGTTGGGATGTTTTCCGACCTGGTTGTAATCGACTCCAGCGAAAAACCTTTATTAACGCTATACAGTTCCATGATAATTTCACCTTTACATACCCATATCTTTTCATCGCCCAGAAAGGCAATATTTATCATATACTTAACAGATTTAATTTCTGTGCTGAAAATCGCTGGTTCATTATGCAGTTTTTTGTCTAAATAAGGATGTCCACTTTCAACTGATTCATGATTGACTGTATGACCTAATCCGCAGTCTGTTGATTTCAAAGGGACTGGAGTACGGGAACCAGATTCTGATGGTTTTAATTTGACCAAACGAGGGACTTTTGGTTTCCTAGGGACTGGAGGTCGATGTCGAACTTCTGATGACCTCTCTTTAGTTGAAGGAGTAGATTCAATTGCTGGTAAATGCTGATTGGCGGGAAAAAGGGGTTCAGTTTCTTGGGAAACTAAAGAGGATTCTGCTGTCAGTGATTCTTGTTTGAATGAAGATAAGGATCTTTCTTCTGATGGTTTAATTGGGATATCTCGAAAGCATTCATCCTCGGTTGATTCTTGTGTGTTTTTCATTCGGTAGCCATTCTTCTCCATCTTAAAACCAAGTGCTGTTAAACTTCCAAACAGTTTTAAAATGTTTCCCTCTTGAATTTCACCTCGTGTGAATTTAGATTTACAGAAAATAAGTTTTGGTGGAAGTTTTTTATAATGATCTTTTAATTTCACACTTAAAGTTTCTGAAATGTCGTTCGAGTCGATAGCTTTATCAAGCAAATCAATTTCATTTCTTATGTCAACAATAATCATGTTAATTTCATCCTTTTTTCTTTGTAATATATCTGTCTTTGTGTCTTTCAGTTTTCTAACATCAATTTTTAGTCTATCGACAAGTTTGTCGATTACTGAGTGCCAGAATTCTCCATGTTTCGTTATGGCTGTTAAAAGATCCTCAGCTTCCTTTTCTAACTCAATCTTAATGGTTTCTAGTTCTGAAAAAATTCCCTGGTAAGTAGGATAGATCGTTTCTTTTAATTCACTTTGCTCCTTCTCTATCATGTTTCTCTTTTTCTCTAGAAAGTCCAATATATTCAATATTTTATGATTGCGATGTTGATTGACACAAGTGGGACAGACAGAGATTTCACATTTTTTACAATACATCACGCATATTTCTTTTTCATGTGATGCACATTTAGGGTAGAGGAGAGTAGAATTTCTTAACTGAAATTTGACAACTTGGTGATTCTTGGGATCATCAGTTGAAATGTGTTCCCCTACACAAGCCTTGCAGAGATTAACGTGACATGAATCACAGTGCATCTGTACCACAGCAGTCGTACAGACGTCACAACGTATCACATCCTGGGAACTGGTTCTGGGGTCCATTGCTGACTTATGAGACTGAAAATGTAAAATTTTATGATCATTTGTAAAGAAATAATAGATCGCAATTATTTTTTAAATTTGATAATATTGAAATTGGAATTTCTTCTACCCTTCCACACTATTTTCTCAAGAATTTTCTCAATCAAAATACAAGGTAAAAAACGATACCCAATGAAAAGAAATGGAAAACATGAAAACATAATTATGAATATAAAGCATCATGTTTTATAGTGACAGAGAATAATACTGGTAAAATCATTGGTTTTTTTGCAAGAAACAGCGATAACAGATCAGACCTCAGATAATTCACTTTATGAGTAATCCTTGGTGGCCACAAAAGCTTTTAATAGATATGAAAGAATACGGCTGTAATTCAGAAATGTAATGTAAAGTTATGGCGAAGGTTAAAGTTGACAACAGGCAGACAGACAAACAGATAAACAGACAGATAAACAAACAGACAAAAGGACGGGACAAAAACAATATACGCCCCTGATCTATCGATCCGGGCGCATGAAAATAAAATTAAAGCTATACTTATTACCTGAACACAGTTAAGAAAATATCGTTCTTCTCCAATTAAAATATAAAAAGTTTGTTGTTTTATGTCATATCCACCCTTGTCATGCAACTGTTAGGGGTTTAACATTCTGGTTCCGGTTTCTTCTTGGTATCTAATACGTGTGCGCTGCACTTCAAAGATTTTTTCTTTTGAAAACCGGTTCTATTTTTTTTTTATTCTTAAAATAGTGTTGCACATAAAGCCTTGTTTGCACGTGGCTTACACAAGCTAAAGCAAAAATGATTGGCGCTTTAAAGAGTGATTCTGTACAATCCGTGGACTAATGATTCATTATTGATTAATGCGGTGGTTTTACAAAACCCATCAATCGATTTTGTTCTAGAAAAGTGTAAAATGAGCACATGTTCGTTCAATTTGTATTTATATATGGACCTAAATATACTCATAGTCAATAGAAACGCAACACCCTAATTTTAGGGTTAAAATCATATGCGGGATATAACTATGTATCAAAACAGTTAGGACATCTTTAACATTGGCAAATCCGTATTTAGCGCTTGGATGATTTTCTTTCCATTACCGGAAGTTGCCTTTTAGTTCTCTTAGCAGAAATCAAACTTTCGCATTTTTGATAAATTTTTTAACAATATTTTGGGTTTTCAAGGATTTGTAGCTGTTAATCATAGGTATTGTACTAAAGTCCCGGGGAAAAAAATCTTTCTTCTCCGGATGTGATTTTTATCACTTTGTTTTAAAAATTGGGGCTAAAAAGCAACTTCAAGTAATGGAGAGAAAATCATTCAACCGTAAAATAATTGATTTGGCAAAGTTAAAGAGTTCCTAGCTTTTTTGGTACATAGTTATAACCCGAATATAACCCCCCCCCCCCTAAAATGAGGGTGATGCGTTTCTATTGACTGTCCGTATATTCCAATAAATGCACAATCGGCTCAATTAAGGCTGTTTTAAAAATATTTTTGCTCTTTCTATGTATTATCTCTTGAAATGCGTAATCAGTGGATTTTTTATCATTAAAGATTGCAGAAAGCAATTCTCATCTCATTTATTTATCATATTTTATAATTTTCTGAATAAACTGAAACAGATGAACCTTTTTCTTTGAATAATTCAGTTATATAATACGCACATGGAAAAATTATTACTTTTAACGGGTGTGGCCGGTCGTCAAGGGATGTTTACTCCTCCATGGCATCTGATCCAATCTCTGATGGTTTGGAGGCCCATGTTTGATCTACTTAAATTTTGTTTTCGATTTTAGAGCTCGAATACTATTCCCTATATCCATAAATTCCATGTCATTAGAATCTTCAATATTTGCTGATGAATCAATTTCATCTGTGAAGTCCGTTTAATTTCATCAAGGTTTCTGTTAGATTTGTAACTGTTAGGTCTTCATTTCATCAACCTGAATTTAAAATGTATTGACATTTATATTTATTTTCTTAAGCCAGTCCTCCCCATGCTTTGGTACTGAGAAATTTCCATACTCCCTCTCTAACTGACCCATTGTCTTTTGCACATCAACTGCTATGTCCTGGTATGTTGGATAAATTGTTTCATTTAATTCATTTTGCCATTTCCTAATCAAATGTTTCCTTTCACCTAGAACATGCAAGACTTTGGCTTATTTATGACCAAGATGTTGATCAGATGCCAGGCATGCGTGACAGACCGGAATGTCAAAATGTCTGCAGACTTTTCTCATCTTTGGTTTTTATAGAAGGCGCTTCCAGAGCAGAGAGGACTGAAATGTGACCTTCACTTCCTGATCTTTAGATGGATGTGTTACTGTGTGTTCTCCAACACAGGTCTTGCACAGGTTGTCAGGACATGCATCACAGTGCAACTGTACAACAGCAGTCTAACATATGTCAGCGTGTAACGCCATGTGCACTGCTGCTAGGTTCCATACTCAAACGTTATGGATATAAAAATATTTTAAAGTTCAAATATTTACATTTCTTGTTAATACCCCATGTATTATATATTTCGTAGATGATATTTTACCAAAATATCAGTAAATATATACATAGAACTAGTTTTTTTAACGTTCACTTAAAAGTTCCATTAGTCAATTTATGTGTCAATGCAAAACTGTCAAAGTGGATTAATCTTAACCTTTTTATATATTAAGTAGAGAGAGGACTTGTATACTTAAATTTGAGCAAAAAAAAAAAAAACAAGTTTGATCATCCATAGTTTCAAAAATATCCAAGTAAAGCAAATTGAAATTCTTATAATTTTTAATTATACATGTATAATCTCTGATTAAATAATTATATTTATTTTTGTTCTTATAACGGTGCATAAAAATTATAAATTATCCAATAACTATACTGATTTTAAATTCAAAAGTCTCTGATACCCTTAACTAATATAGGGCAAAAATTAGAAGCTATGTGGTACAGTTGCCATGATAACATGTCACAAGGTTTGAAAAATCATTTTTAACGTGTTTAGAGTCCAGTGGTTAACATTTGCGGCAAAGCAAGTAATTGGCAATGACTGTTTCAAAAGGTTGAAACCCTGATGCTTTATAAACATGTTTGGTAAATCAACCAGAATCAAATTGTCATATATTTCTGTTTGGTTAACAATGGTTGCCATAGTTTTTATACATCAGAGAGCCTCTGTATGCTTGAACCTGATCCTACCTTTTAAAAGAACGCATTTATATATAACTGACGATAAAGTTATTTTTGGTGTATGTTTCCGGTGTCGAGTACTCAAAATGGGCAGTTTCATCAAAATCGGTGGCCATTGGTGGCAAAGAATTTTGAGTGGTTTTAAAAAAAGAATCTGAATTCTGAAGCACTCTTAAAAAATCACAGATACTGTATTTGTAATTGTATTAAGTAGTTACAAAACGAATATATCAAGCTGCCCCAAGAAGTTCAAAGCCAGAGGTTTTATTAGAAAAATCTTAAGGTTTACGAACATATTATTTATTTCAAACATAGTATTCATTTCACTGCAGATATTTGATTCTTAACACACATCTCTCATCACCAAACATTACGCCACCAAAAATCAGATTGTTATCTGTATCTGTGCACAAGAAGGTCACGTCCACGTTTTATATAACTAAGGAACTGTCCATCCATTTCTATAATGTGTACACAACAATGTTTTCGTCGCCTGTAAGTATATGAACTTGACTGTCAGTAGTGATTACTCTTAAACCGTATGGTTTTTATTCTGGGGCAGGAGTATGCTCCGGTATTCAAATCGGAATTTTCCAGCCTGGTTGATCACCACTACTGCTTTAGCTCTACTGTCAGCTGCACAAATATCAAGGTTATTATTCTCACATAAGTATTTAGCAGACCCACCAGATTAATAGAGAGGTTTACCATTCTTGTCAAACTGAATTTATTTTTTTTACGTGGAGGAACAAGAGTATCGAACAGTTTGTGATTGGTTTTTGTCATCATTTCCGTTGTATTAATATCTGGCTCATCGAGCAACTTCTTGACTTTATGAGAATATCCAACAGCTGAAGAACTATTGACTTCTAGTGATTTATGTTCCATCTCTATACTGAAGTCATATTCTTCTGTTTTAGGTGAAATGAGTGATAACACTCCGAACAGTTTATGAAGTTCGTCCCATTGGATCGTTCCAGGATTGAGGCTTGGTACAAATAGCACAAACATTTGAGGAAGCTTTTTAAATTGATCTACATTTGGATTAACCTTAATTAGTCTTGAAATGTCATAAGAGGTTATTGCTTTATATTTACATCTACTGGATATTTCCTCCTTTATTTCTTAAGAAAATCCATTGCGTTAATCACTGCATGAACTACATTAGGCATGTCGCCTGTACAGATTTTTTGATCAGTGTCTGATCCATCAATGAAACGTATAAAGACGTTCACATCATTAATACAATAATTGATCTTTTTAAATCTACTTTAAACGATTATTTAAACAGATATAAATATAAACAATAAAATGTCTTTCTTTGTTATTACTGGAATTAACGGTAAAAATTGGCATAACCCGCTTTCGCGGTATTAACAAACAAAGAAAGCATTTTATTGTTTAAATCAAGTGAATCGATTTCATATTTAATATCTTTGATTTTCTTATCAATATTATCCAAATGTTTTTTGTAAAGTTTGTAACTGTTAGGTCCTCATTTCATCAACTTGTATCTTAAGGTTTTCCAAAACTACGTCAATTTCTTTGTGCCAGTGCCTTCATCGATTGTTGATGACTGTTGAAAGATCTCTGTATTCATTCTCTAATTGTTTAATTTTGTTCTGTGCATCAGATGCAATGTTCTTGTGCGTATGATAAATTGCTTCCTTTAATTCTGTGTGCCCTTTATTCCTTCTAACTTTCTTTTCATCCAGAACTTGCAAGATTTTTGATAATTTATGAACAAAATGTTGATTAGATGCCAAGCAAGTGAGACAGACTGAAATTTTATATTGCCTACAAAACATCTCACATCGTTCTTTTTAATGTGAGGCACATCCAGGATAAATTGGAATGGAATTTGTGGACTGATATTTGACCACTTTGTGATCCTTGAACTCGTACTTTGAGATGTGTTCTCCTACACAGGCGTTGCACAAGTTGAAGTGGCATGTATCACAAAGTATCTGCACTTTAGCAGTCTCACATTTGTCACAGCGGATCAAGTAGGTGACTGGTGCGGGGGTTCATGACTACTTATATAACTAGGCATATGGACCTGCAATAGCAAAAATTATATTGATAATATATATTTACGAAAAGAATTTGTTCTTGCATAGATATAATTCATTCACCTGTGTTACATGTTTAACGTTCTTTTTTTCTTTTCTTTTTTTTTACTTCTTTCAGAAATGTATACATCTAATCTTATTGAAATGGTAATTTTCGCGTTTGAATGTGAATATTATATATGGAGATAACGAATTACAAGTATCTAAGTCCAAAAGTTTATGCAGCAATACAATTCGGAGTAAATATAGACATCTAAAAATTCAGAGGTGTGATCAGGTGTGACGTAATATGTTTTGACAGTCACTAACAAATCTCCAGCTGTTGCCTTAAATAAACACTCTACGGGTAAAACCCAAATATATATATTAAAGCCCGAATTTTTATGTATTTTTAATATAGAGACTATATTAAAAATCATTGAGTTTTCACTTGAAGAATGAATTAAATGTTGTTTTTAAACAAACATGTTATATACTAAATTATTTTAATAAATATTGATAAAAACATTTTTTTTTAAATATTATGTAAATAAACTCATTACTATTACCCGACGACAAGTGAAGACATGTGATTTTCCTTTTCAGCATAAATCCCATTTACTAGTGTACCTGAAATGTGCGAATCAATGTGATCTTTACTGACTGAAAGTTTTTTTTTTTTATTTCCGGGCTTCTTCAAAGTATAACATAACCAAAAGTGGGACAATGAGGGTTGCCCGTAACAACGGATATCCAACATGACTGGTGCATATTCTGAAGTCCCGTAATGCACATATATCGTCGCTGTAATATCAAAATGTCGTAAGTCGATTTTTGGCGCGAAATTTTTATTGCTATTTTGGAATCTGCAATATCGAATACATGTTCTGTCAAAACGCCATGTCTCTAGGCCAATTAGAAAGTGAGATACAGACGTGTGATAAAAGCGCGTATGTCCATTGGATGGATTTTTTTTCTGACAAAAGGTCGTATGTCTCTGGGCACTGACAAAGATGTCACTGGCAGTCCGATATCAATGGAAAAATTTTAGTAACTGCAATCAATTTATGAGTATGTTAATTCATAAAATACATTTTAGAGCGTTCTAATATTAGATTCGTACGCTTACAATACATTGCAAGGGTTTGTTTCAATGCTTTTTGGAGATACGACACTTTGTACTGAAAAAACATCCAGGACAGAAAACAAAACACGACATACGACATTTTGAAAAAATATGTTTTTTGTCTCTCCTGAAAAGTTGGGATTTTTGACTTGCGACAATTTGATATTACAGCGACGATATGTGCTTTCTACCCGTCGAAGTTTTTCCTTAGTTCAAGGCATTTAAATGTCTGTGCCTGCTCTGCATGCATTTCTGAAGTTTATAATTTGTTAATATTGTTAATTGGTAACGCATGTTACGCAATAATTACTTTTTGGGGGTCAAAAAATGATTCCGACACCTAGGAAGTAGGGTTTTTATTTTATTTTTTTTTTATTTTTTTTTTTTTTTTTTTTGCCACTGAAAGTTGGGGATATTAATTTTGGTCTGTCTGTCAGTCCGTCTAGCTATAGTTCTGTCTGTCTGTAACGTTTTTGTTTCCACGCGATATCTCGAAAATCCTTTGAGATATTGTAATGAAATATATATGAAGATACCTACCGATTTTGAGGTCAAAAGGTCAAGGTCATACATAAAAAAATGTTTAAACACTTTTGTTTACATTCCGTATCTCGAGAAACCTTTGAGTTTTTGCAAAATATTTTATACCACAACTCCGCCTGGCTTGAAAACCAAAAATATTGTTAAAAATTTTATTAAAAATGCAAAATTTTTATTTCTGTGAAAAGGGCTAAAAAACAACTTCCGGTAGAGGAAAGAAATTCATTCAACCGTTAAATAACTCATTTGGCAAAGTAAAAGATGTCCTAACTTTTTTGGTACAAAGTTATAACCTGTATTTACTTTCACCCTATATCAGAGTGTTGCGTTTTCATTGACGGTGAGTATATATATAGAGCGGCCTGGTCCTCCGGGCTGCAATGATCTTCTACTGTACATTTACACTGGATTTTTAAGATGCGTTTAAAACAAGTCTGGTAACGGTTTTATTTTTGTTTTATATTAAAAGAACAATTCAGGAATATTCATCTATTTCAAAGATTTTATGGAATAGGATATATTCACTATAATTTATATTTTAATATATATGCTACATTGTTTTAAGCAATTATTTAAAATATTTTTCAACGAATGCACTCTATATATATACGCCTAGAAAATCATATTAGGATTAAACATTTTTTTAAAATAAAATATATAGGCTTTGTCTTTGAATTATGAGGCAAACTTCAGTAGTAATCTAGATAATTATATAAGTTTTTAGTCTTAGTATAACCCACAACATTTTAATCCAAAAAATTCGATTTCAAATATAGCTGAATTAGTTGAATAGTTGAATAGTAGAAAAATTTTCAAAGAAAAAGAAATATAAAAAGATGTTAAATAAAACAACACAGACGTCCCTTTTGTACTTTGCATAAAATAACATTGCACTTGAGAGAGTTGTTGCGGTAATTAAAAAAATCCCGATATTAATAAAGCATCTTTGATCAATTTTGATGCATTTATCAAGACATTGCTGATAAGGTGAGAGGTTATTTTGCAAAGCAGTAAAAATATCATAGCAAAAGAACATCCGAAGGCATTAGGAACAGCTTATAAAAAAAAGAACTATAGGCCTAGGTTATCATTTCTGACTCCCCCATGACACCTGATCCTAGCTCCGATGCTTTGTTCTGTATATTTCATTCTGTTTGAAATTATTTTTCACACCTACAGCACACACTGCAAACGTAAGAAATGGATAAATGTATTTAAATTTGAATTTTCCTTTTAAATAAAGTTATAACGTTTTCGTTAAAGGTCATATTTTGAACATGATAAACAGTACTTCTCTTTACAAAATCAGTTATTATGGAAACATTTCCGTACTTGGGTGCTTTTTCAGTCTCAAAGAGGTATCATAGCTAAATGCTGACTTTTTGGGCTAATTCATGCATGTGTAAGTATTTGTAGTACTGAAATTCCCTAAATCTATATAGATAAAGGACTAATTATGATGTACTAAGACTCATAGACGGGTTTAATCACTGGTGCAATATTTGATGTTCAGTATTTCTTTTCGGTTTGTTGTGAACTTGAAATGTGGTGCTCAGAAACTCAGAAAGTGACAGAAGCCCCGGCAAGAGAGAGCCTGGGTTTATGTCTTTGAGGGCAAAAGACATTCATGGAGAGGTCAATGCGGCGGTTAGATGTATTCGATCGCCGGTGGTCATATACCTCAGTCGGATTATCACCTGATTGAAAAATCAGAGGGCCAGGGCTAATTCAATACATTTTTCTTCGTTTTTGTTTTAGCGCAATTATAGGTAGTGTTGATGATCCATATCACTTAATTTGATGTTTATATCCCTTTCTTTATTTCTCTTGAAGAACTTCTAATTTGAATAATAAACAACACTTACTGCTAAAACAAAACAAAAAATATGTTTCCGGGGTATCTTTGAATGTTTCTTTAATTTTCAAAATATGCAGTGCATTCCAGTCGTAGGAAATTCACTCAAAGAATCTTAATACTTGTTATATTTACTCACTTGGCTGATTATATTTATCAATTTAATAGTATTTATCACCACTAACGTCTCGTATATATGTTCATATTGAGGATAAATAGCAGCACAAACCCAAATATGATAGATTGATTCTATGTAATCTAATTCAATTAAATCAATTTTTGTTGTAACGCGGCTTTCGATTGAATGCAATTTTCCTTTTTATCGTATTAATTGTGTTGTCTACGGTAACATCACAATGACTGTCGATCCTATCGTACTCTCAAATTTTGTTCAATTTGAAAATTTTATGTGGACTATTTCCTTGAAGAAAAAAAATGAGAATAAATTTTAGGAAATGAATTTGATAGATTTCTTTATGTGTTATAAACTGGGTTGGATCAGTTTATAAGCCGGGTTTATGCCACATAGTTGGTAGCTTTTGTATTCATTCCGTAAATATCTTTGACTTTTTGATTACTAATGACCTTAATAATGATTTTGTAATATTTATAGAAAACATCGTAGGTTGTCTTCCCTATTCATATACGCATTTTCTAGCCTTTGTTCTATATAAACATAAGCAAAAGACGGATATATGTTGCATTTTGTGTACATTTAGAAACTTATGAAAGATTGCTTGATTAATTTCAATGCAAGAATTCGTTTTTTTAACCCTGAAAACATTGAATATGACTCTGCTATTGCGATTTTTCATCTGTATCTACGGACACCCTACATGGTCGTAGATCCCAAATCTGGTGATTGTTGTTCATCTGCAGGAGGGTATTCGTTTGCTGGAAATTTCTTTGAGACTTGAGGAGAGGATCCAGCTCCTGATGATTTTACCGAGACTTGGGGAGAGGATCCAGCTCTTTGTGATAATTTCCTTGAGACTTAGGGAGAGGATCCAGCTTCTGGTGATTCCAGTGAGACTGCATCACGGGAATATATTTCCGTTAATTTTGATGTGATTGGTGAAAGTTTTTCAAATTCTAGTGGCTCATGTGTGACCTTTAAACTGTAACCATGCTTTTCTGTTGTAAGATTAAATGTTGATAAAGTTCCAACAAATTTTGAAAGTTTTTCATCTTGAATTTTCCCTGGAGTGAATTTGGGTCCAGAGGGGACAAGCTTATTTGGAAGCCTTTTATGCTGCTCCACTTTGGAGGTATGTAGTACTTGTAAAATTGTCGAAATATCATTGGAGCCCAAAGTTTTATCAATTGAATCAATTTCATCATCGATCTCCATAAGTTTTCTGCTAATATCATCCAAATGATTCTGTAAAGTGTGTAACTGTTTGTGTTTCATTTCATCTGTTTTAGCCTTAGATTTATTGAAAAGTTTGTCAATTTCTTTGTGCAGGTTATCTTCTTGTATCGCAATGTCTGTTGATAGATCTTCATATTCCTTCTCTATCTTACTTATTACGTTTTGTGCATCTGCTGCAATGTCCTGGTAGGTTGGACAAATTGTTTTCTTTAATTCAATTTGTTTTTCTTTTAATAGCTTTTTCTTTTCATTTAGAATATCCGGGATTTCTAAGAACCTATGACCTAAATGTCGATCAGATGCCAAGCAGGTGTGACATATAAGAAGGTCACAGTCTTTACAGTACATCGCACATCGTTTTTGCCTATGTAGGGCACATCCAAGGTAGGGGGCAGTAGACTCAGAATTGGCTACTGTGTGATCCATGGACTCGTCACACTCTGGGAACTTGTATGACGATCTATAACTATAGAAACTTGTGGCACTGAAAAAAGGAAAATTTCATGATTTCTCTTTTATAAATATTAAAAATAATGACATCGGATAGGCTTTTTATGAATCATATAAACTTTTGCTTATTTTTTTTCTACCTTTCCTAGAAGAAATGAAAAATGATTTATTGAAAGATTTTTGCAAGAACAATCTAGTGGAATTCCCATGGATACCTATCCCCCCCCCCCCCCCCCCCCCCCCAATTTTAGCAGACCTATTTTTATATTCATATGAAGCAGAATTTGTGCAAACTCTAATGCGTGTGAAAAGAAGAAAATTATTGATGTGGCCTTCAACTCGACATTTAGATATATCGACGACGTACTGTCAATTAACAGTTGTAATTTCCATTCTTATGTCGATATGATATACATGTATCCTGGTGTGCTTGACATAAAAGACACCAAACTGTTTCAAATATGGATATTTTACTTGAAAAAGACCTTAATGGTTACCTAACAGCTAAATTCTATGATAAATTTGATGACTTTAACTCCTCTATTGTCAACTTTTCTTACTATCATCTGCAGAGGGAGTCAATATATCTCAATTGATTCGATACGCAAGAGCATGCTAGAGCTAGGTATGACAATTTCTAAAACGAAATAAATTAATGACAAACAAGTTAATGAAACAGGAAGATCAACAGTTTTGTTTGGCATCGTTTTTTAAGTTCTATGGTCGATACAATGACCTTGTCGGCATATACAATTCATCATTCAGACAAATACTGACTGACGTTTTTCATACAAATTGTTATTCCATTATTTATACACTGAATTAAATACGGATTTTTCCGTTATTTCCAGATTGTGACAAGTAGCACACGGTAGGTGTGACCAGTCGTCGGAGAATGCTCACTCCTCCATGGCACCTGATCCCACCTCCAACAATTTTGAGGTCCGTGTTTCCTCTCCTCCTATTTTGTATTGTTTTATGAATTTTTTATCTTGAATTCTCTTCGTGATCTACATATGTTTCATACTTTAGTTTCACGTGGTGATCACTAGTATATGTAATGCATGATTAAGCTTTATTTAAAGATATGACAAGTCCTACTTTTTCAGCTAATACATGAACAATCAATCATTAAGTCAAATGCTGATGAACCCTTTACATACCATTATTTACACACTGAATTGTCTGCAGATTTTTTCTTTATTTATCTACAATGCATATGACTAGAAGCACACGGCGGGCGTGACCGGTCAGCAGGTGATGCTCTATCCTTCATTGCACCTGATCTTCTATTGATTTAAGAACCGTGTTTGGTCTACTCTCGATCTGTATTCTTTGAATGGAATTTTGAGCTTAAATACTCTTCGTTATCTCCATATATGTCACCTTAGACTTCCTAATTCCTAAATATTGTGTTCATATCACTTTAAACTTATAAAATAAATTCTATTTTTAGGAATATCACAAAATCTTAAATCTTCATCCAGTCAGGCGAACAACTTTAAAAGGCTTGATTTCAAATTTTTGTTTTTATATCATCATGACAATTGATATAATAATTAGCATCTATATCTTTTTCTATTGAAAATGTTCATTGAAGTACAGGTTGCCCCCCCCCCCCCCTCCCAGTTAATACTGCGGTAAAGTAATATAAGGGAAAAAGCAGTATTATATGCAAAATAAAATGGTATACGGAAGAGAATAAACCATATTAAGTTTCTAAAATTAATAAAAACCCCTACATATATTTATAATATATATATTAAATATCATTACCTGGCGTTTTCGCCCACAGAATGCCAATTTATTGATGTTTTATGAAGTGGTCCGTCTGCATGCAGTGATGTAATAGCAGAAAATGTAGATTGTCCTTCCAAAGAAATCATATAAAAAGGAGACCCTTTACCGACGTGGATCCTGGCACAAAATATACCTCTCAAAAAATACTAAGTTTAGGTAAAAATATGTAGCTCCCCTCTGGCAATAAGTGACGTCTTATTAATAGTGAAAGTTCTTGGGGTTATGTTGAGCAAATAAGAAACCATGCAACCAACCAATGCACTTGCTAAAAAGGCGTCCCAGTATGAGAGAAAAGTTCTCGAACGTAAGCTTAACAAACATTCAACCAAGCAACAAATTATACTTTTGTCATATACCTGTCAGATGTATTTGATTTCTGATTTTTTTTAAAAGGTAATTTAATACATGCACACTGCATTTCAATGAATTCATTTACCTCCTAACTTAAAACAGTGCAAGTGTTGAGGATCTGCTGAACGGTATTGCATATAAGATATTTTATTTTTATTTGACTAGTGCAAACTTATATTTTAATGGTTTGTGAAGTTTCGTTTACCGTTTTTACACATGTAAGTTAATTATGTAAAAAAAGAAATATTCTATTGGTTTATTTCATGAAAAACGAAGCATCTTTTATCTTTGCAAATCTAATTAAAGTTTTATAGGAAACAAACCAAATTGTATGCCTAAAATAGAAAAAATTAAAAATATTTTTTACAACTTGTCTTTTAATAGGCAATTAGATCAAACTCCTTGAAAATTCTCTCTATACTAGTATCTAACATTAAGATACCGTTAAAATAATAATAATAAAAAAAAGACTCTTGATTGGATTTATTCTAACAATGCTCATATGCAGGACGTGGACTGGATACCTCCAGGTAACAAAGACGAGGTCATCCAACAACAAGAAGAATGCTTGACGAGGAGTAAAGATGTTTGGCGTCCCCATGCACTTTGGTTTCTCACACACCTGAATAGAAAAGCAAACATAATCAGCAATCCAGGAATACATTATTTTGAGGGAAACATTGAAATTCTTCATTTTTTTTTCAAAAAAAAAAGCGAATCAGTCAAATTAAATAATATAATATCATATATTACCTTAATTTTTCAAACTTTTGCCCTCCTAAAAACATTTGCTGTAAGTCTGCAAGCTTCCTGCAATGAAGCTAAAGAAATCATGACAGTCTACACAAGGCCTTTGTGTTCGCAGCAACTTTGCGGCAAGTTTGCATCAAACAATTAGTTATGCCAATGAAACTTGCTGCAAGTCAGCAGCAAACATTGGATTTTTCAAACATGGAAACACGAAACATGCGGCAGCAAATATTGTTGCTAACTTTCGGCAAGCAGTATTAAATATAATTATTGTTTTTGGTACATTCCTGCGTACGAGCACCATGTTTCGAACTTGCGAACAACAGACTGGTGTGCATGTTTCTAGCAATGTTGCTGCAAGCATGTTGAGTTCCTGTGAATTTGTTGCAAACGTAAAGCAATTGCTGCAATTTTTTCCGCAAGATCGCAGCTAGCCGAAATCGTTTGCGAACAAGAAAATTTTCTTCCTGCCAACAATAATCGTGCTTGATGCAAACTAGAGCAAACTGTCTCAGTACTGACATCCTTCAAAACTGGACTGTTATAGGAACTTTGTAGGATACAGAAAATTGTTTAATTTCATAAATGCATTGATTATTTTGAAACATTGATCATATTGGGGGGGGGAGGCTAAAACAAAATACTGTCACAGGAAGTATATGCAAGGGACTACATGTAGATCATGCCAAAAAGTTAAAAGTGTGCTAGCTGTGCTCCTGCTTAATGTCTTATCTTCTGAAACAGCCCAGTTTTGAAGGATATAAGTACTGAGATAGTCTTATACATTTGTATTATGATTAATATCATGCAGAGTGCCAAATGTGAATTGTGAGACTGGAGGAACAAAGTGATGACATGAACGCAATGATTTAAAAGTTATAATTTAAAAAACAGCAAATTTAATAGTTAAATTTCATAAGTGCAATGATGATTTTGAAACAATAATCATATATGTTTGGAAAATTAAAAAATAAAATAAACCAAATAAACTGCAATCGGAAGAGGGTCAGGACGTGGAACGGACCAGGTCATAAAATCTTGTTATAATCTAGTTAAACTTAAAGAAATGTTTCAACCCCTTTCTCTGGTTTTTGCAAGAACAGAACCATGATATCATAGCACATTTTCATTTAAAAGATATTTTTTGTTGTATATTTTTCACAGGTTAAACAAATATTATCCATTTTACTTTTTCGATAATAAAATCTTTTACTTATCTTATACTAAACAGTAACAATTTTTTCAAAGTTTTTTCATATTGTCTTCAAGTCCGCAGAGAGATAGAATTACATTTGCGGGCTATATGCAAGACCTTTATTGAAATCTTGAGCGGGAAAAAAAAACAAGACCTCTATTAAAATCATGAATGAGTGTAAGCTTTGCTTAACCACCTAATGTCAAGTTTCCTCTTTTTGGAACATAAAGTCCATTCATTCATTACAATGTAATCGTCGATGGCTAAGGAACTTAATCGGTAGGCTACCTATCTACAGTTGAAATTGCCAAATTCAAAATCCTGGTCTAATCCTAGGCCTGTTACATACATGTATATTGGTATTAATCTGGTCACAACACTCAATATAAATGGCTAACAAATCTACAATGTACCTCATTTATAGACTAGTACCAACTGTATTTTATTAAAAGATATGTAATACATGTAGCCATCTAAAGTGCCCATCTACATAACCATTCTGCAGCTGGCATACACTGCAAAAGAACTGTTTATGTTTACAGTAGCTCTGTTTAGTAAAGGCCCTGTCACACCAACTGCGTTCACACGGAGTCATTACGGCGTTGTTAATTTTTTTAAATCGCCGTGGAATCGCAGGGAAATTGCACAAATTTCTGTTAATTTTTCACAATATGAAGATGTCACGGCGTCCTTACGGTGACGGACGCGATTCTACGGCGATCTCACGGCGTTCTACTGCGTTCCCATGGAGATCTCTCGGCGATTGACTGCGCTTCCGCGGAGTTTTCACGGCGCGTTAGGAGTTTTCACCTCGTGTTCACGGCGTTCTCACTGCGCTGACTGCGTTCACAATACGTTCACAATGCGTTCTATACTCGTTGATATTTATTTAGAAGGACTGTAACACATTTTTGTTTAAAGACTCAAGTTACACGATGAAAAGACTTCTAATCATGCCAAGAAATATTAATAATCAAAAATGTTCTATATTTAAATAATTTAGTACTAAATTATTAATAGTTTTATGAATAAACTCCTTTTCTTTCAATTTCATCGGTTCAGTTGTGTTGTTAGATTTTCTTTATTTTATTTTTAATGTAAAAAAAAATAATAAACACACCGAAAAGTTTTCTACAAATTTTAATTGAAACAACAGAACAAGTGCTTGTGTAATTTTCTCTTCCATTTTTTTCACAAAAATGCTCCTAGTGCAACAAATACGTTTAAATTATAGCAGATCAAATATGATCCAATTGCTCTTGTTCTGTGAGCTGGCTGACAACGCTCTAACAACGCCGTGAAAGCGCATTATGATCGCCAACGGACGCTGTAGAAACGCCGTGGGAGCGCAATGACCGCAGTGACAACTCCGGGCTGTCGCCGTGTAATCGCAGCCGAAAAATCACAAGACGATAAATCTCATTAGAAGCGCCGTAAAAACGCGATAGAAACGTAGTGACATCTCCAAGGACTCCGCGACATCTCCGTGGGGTCTCCGTGGAAGCGCAGTCTACTATCACTGCGTTCGTGCTGCGATCATGTGCGACTTCACGGCGTTTATACGGAGCTCCCACTACGTTGTTGGAGATCTCACCGCGCTGCTACGGCGATCATACTACGTTTCTACTGCGTTCTTATCAGACTGCGATCACACGGCGCGTACTTTGTGCATGCTCAAAGTGATCGCCGTCCCTTGGCGTTCTTGGAGACCCTACGCGACCCTACGGCGTTCAGTGGAGATCTCGCCGCGTTGTCACGGCGCTGTAGGAGACTCTACTGCGATCACCTCGGCGTTTTGCATTTTTTGAGGACGCAGTGCAGTCGCCGTGAGGACGCAGCCCCGGTGTGACAGGGGTTTAATCCATGTAAAAGAACAGACCCACTATCACTGATTTCCTAACTTCATTCTAACGTTAGTATATAGGTCCCTGATTGTACATGTGGTTTATGTCAGCTAAAAATGTGCAGCATTTCATTTCCGACATTTATTGTTTTCATTTCCGACAGTATCTTGGCTAGCCAAGGGATTCTGATACGCTACTCTCCTCATACGCCCTTGGCATACGGTTTTTTTTAAAAAAGGAATTTTTTTCTCGATCTACTTTTGATTAGAGTGGATCGCCATCGATCGACCAATCAGCATTTTTTTTTTTGTAGTCCGATCCTCAGGTTCATAACATCACGACTGAACAATCTCTGAATTAAAAGTTTACCTATAGCATTTATTCAAAGAACTTTAATCATAATATATAGGGAAATGTATCAAGTTTTAAATACATAGTCTATATTTAGAAAAGAAAAGAAACATTTCCTATCAGATCAACAAATACAAATACAGTATACCGGTATTTGAGGCTAGAAAATACAGCGTGAAAAGATTGCGTTTTCATTGCAAGACATCACAGATCGGTCGCCCGCTTGACGCAGTGGTTAGAGCGTCTGCTCTAGAGTTGCAAAGTAAGGAATAGATCCTTACTTCGCGGGATCAAATCCCACTGTGAGAAGTGGAGACTGGTCTTTTGGATGAGAATGTATAAACCGAGGTCCCGTGTCGCAGTAGGTGCAGGCACGAAAAAGATCCCTACCTGCTCAATGGACCTAAGTGCCAAGTATACATGTAGCTCTCCTACGGCAATGATGGCGTCTCCATATGAGTGGAAAATTCTCGAGAGGGACGTTAAACAATGTACAATCGATCAATTTTCACAGATCGCTTCTTATTCCATCAGCTAACCACGGGTACTTGTGGACAGACCCCCCCCCCCCTCCGATATCAACCCCGGGTCTTATCGGATTTTTTCTCACAAATTATATTTATTACACTTATTTATCATGTGCACAATAGGAAATTAAAAGAATCGTAAAACCTCCCAAATAATCGCTCAACAACAACAACAACAACAAAAACCCAACTATACATCATAAGAGAGAATATATATATAGTAGTAGGGTATTCTTTTTTTGTTTAGCGATCATTTTGGGGGGTTTTACGATTTTTTTTCATATTGAACACATAATGAATAATTATAATAAATATAATTTGCGAGAAAAAATGTCCAATAAGCCCCGGGGTTAAATATCGGGGGTGTGCACAAGTACCTCAAGTACCTGTGCAGCCTCTTTTTTTTTTTTATACATGCACAAACTATATATTTATATAACTTCCAGTGCCCGTGTGCTAACAAGACAGTTAGATTCAATAAAATTTTATATCTCCGAAAATGTATTTATTATGGATTTTTATGGGGTACAATTGTCAACTTATCACAAAATCCATTCTAAGACTTCAAAGAATCCGAAATAAGAATGCAATTTTTGTTTACAAATGCAATATCTAGTGGCGGATCTCGGAATTTCATAAAGGGGGGCAATAAAAGGAAGGGGGGTTGTCATGTCAGGAATCTTATTAGATAATTTATTATAAAAAGCTGAATCCGAAAATGAAATACAGCCTTAAAAAATTAGTAAGAGGCAGATCTCTGGTTTATGAATCAGAACTGAGGAAGGAGGGGGTTACACGTATTATGTTCTTTAACTTGTTTGCTAATTAACTAATGTCAAGTGCATAGTACTGTTTATGGGTATTTGGTGAAAATGTCAATCTGGAGACCGAGTATACTTTCAGATTTAACCATAGAGAAAAATAGCAAAAAATACATTTTTTGAAATATTCCTCCGTCTTTCACTTTTTCGGAAACAAGATATCTGTGTATCCGGTTCTGTGTAGTATGTTATCAAGAATAATTTCCTGTTCGGGATGGTTTTTCCTTTGTTTGAAATGCTGAAAAAATGATAAAATTAAGACCCAAATCGTGTATAATGCTGATAAAAAGGATATATTTACAAATCAACTCAACAATGGCAGACTAAAAAATTGGAAACGTATCGCCAGAAGGGTAAATATGTCGCCATATGGGGTGATGCTGTAGATGCGAATTCTAGAGATGTTGATGATAGAAAAGGTTTGTTTCCCATTATTTATTGGGATTATCAAATACATAATCACCAGAGCATTTTATAAAGGCAGTTTACGCTGTCTTATAGGAAATATTTTTGGAAATTTGATGAAATGAGTTTGCTCATTTTGGTGCATATCCGAATTTCCTCGAAGTGAAAGTACAATATAAGCGCCCTGTAGGATGTCGCAGATCTTAATGTGATACACCTTGATCCTTATTTTTAAAATATTCAATGTTTTATTAAATATTTGTTTTTAATGTCACTTACTTTTTTCCTAAACTGTAGACCCACCATTTTTAATAACTAAAGAATACAGTTAAATTGCTTCTTGATTTGAAACATTCCAAATTTCTACAAGTCTTGCAACTCCTGTAAAAGATAAATTTTAACTATATGCAATGATGGACCATTATTATATCTTTTAAAAAATTGTTCCTGTATAAATCACTGCTATTAAAAGTGTAACATTTCCAATGTTTTACTGAGCAGTCATAAAAAATTAATGTTTGACCACACAGTAAGCCATTTTTTATACCTTTTAAGAATTTTTCATAAACACATGAAACAATTTTTTTTCTCAAAGATCAGTGGTTTAGATTTAATATGAGGTTATGAAATTATTAGGTGCAGAACTATAGCTCTCCTAAAAAAATATATTGACAGACAGGAGAGCTACAGTGCCACTGATTGAAAAAACTGTATATTTATGGCGCACAAAAAGTGTGCTGTTTCTCGATTTATTTCCCCATGTTTTTTAAACTGTTATCTCAAAATATCACTAACCGTGTGTTCATCACATATTTTTTCACTGCTTTTAGCCATACATATAAAATCTACTTTAAAACTGTTGTTAAACAAGCCCTAAAATTGAAAAAAAATTTTGTCTTTTTATGCTGCCATTTAAATCAATAATAATACAGGGCCAATGTGTGTTGTGCAGAATTAAGAACATCAATGTTTTTACATTTGAAAAAGAGTAAGGGATTTTTAAAAAAATAATTTTTTTTTTAAGGTAACATTCCAAAAAAGAAAATCAATATGATCAACTTTTTGTGCACAATAAATATTACAGTTTTTTTAATGGGTAGCTCTCCGGTCTGTCAATATATTTTTCTTTGGAGAGCTACAGTTCTGCAGCTATATTAGGGATGGGTATCGCTAAAAATTCATTTGAAATATAACACAATTTTTTCCCAAAATATCACAATAGCATCATGGTATTTTTACAAGTAATTTTTACAATGATTTTAAATGAACACTATATTGAATAGGCATTATTTTTCTTAAAAATATGCAAGAAAAACAAATTTTCACTTTTTAAAAATTTTTTATATTAGGCCATAATCATGATAATAAATAAATTGCTATGAATGTCTCAGAAAAATGTCCAAATTTTTTTTTAAATAAAAGGCGGGCGAGCGCATGTGTGTTTATGTTTTTTATTTGATTTAATTTTGTAGATTTTTTATTGACCTATGTCAATCGGTGTAATTTTAACACACATACCTCTATAAAGTCATAGTAAAGGTTCAATTATCTCTTACTTCACATCATCACATATCATCGACTTTGTGCGGGATTTAAAACAGAAAGTAGAATGGCACTATAATATTTTCTGTTAACTTATATTTCTCGATACAATTTATTGAATTCAGAAAAACAGAAATAAAAAAAATCGAGGCGGGGGTATAACATATGCAATATACCGCATATAGTTCTTTTGAAATTTTTATTTTATATGGCCTTAATAAAATTAATCATGTTATGATGGTAAGATGTCGTTCTTTTCACCATTTACAACAATTTTTAGACTTTCTGTAATTGTCATTTGAAAGATTGAACAAATAAATAAATAATTTCTGGACTTTATAATAATTATGTACCTAAATACCGGTATTTAAGTCTCTGAATCATGATATGTATCACACAACAAAAATCATGATATACCGGTATACCGATAAAATCGCACATCCCTGTGCTATATAATTATAATAATAATATCATGAACATGATATTTTTTAATACAGTCATAAGTACACCTTGTTCAAATAATGTTCTACATGTATAAAGGAGAACTTTTGCAAATGTAGTACACACATTGTAAAATAAAAACAGGTGGAAAAACCACCTCTGATCCCCAAATGATCACTTTTTGACATGAATATTAATCATTTTAGTAGTTTAATTATTTTTAATCTTTTTTTAACTCTACAAGATTGTATCAAATTCTGCATGAACTGTACCACTAATGCTGCGTGCTTTTTTCTAAATAATGAAAAAAAAATCACTAAGCTTTCATATTTTTAAAAATATTAATGATTTACACCTTTGTGTTGTAGGAGTAGTGCTATTCAACTGCTGAAGGATCAAACACATGGACCAGTGTAACCAGCCGCTAAGTTGTAGAACAGAATTAACCAGGCAGTGTACATCCACAGCTAATGATGGATACCCACCAAAGATCCCAGTGCAGCTTTGCTTTAACCTATAAACATGTTAGAAGACAATATGTAAAGCTGAAAACTCAAGACAGTGAACCCTTTTTGTGATGTTAATAAGTTGCTTAGGAACCTTTTAATTGTTTACTTTGATTACACTCGTTACCATGGATACAAACCAGTGCCAGGTGTGTGGGAATTTTTTCATCACGCTCACATCCCTCAATAACCATATAGAAACTCACAGCAAGAAAGAGCTGTACCATTGCATCCTGGGATTGAGAAACACCATAGCCATGTTGTCTAGGCAACCGTTGCCAGAGGCAACTTACCAGGAGACGGTCAATGTCACGGCCACTGACCTTTCACAGAACCACCAACCCCACAACTCCGCCCCACCAGAAAAACCGATCACCATGGTGACAAACCCAGCATCTGCCTCTTCCTATGAAATCCATACTTCTGCAGAAAGTTCACAACCAGGGATCATGCATCCTAAGCCTCCTGCTTCCATAGAAAACACAATACCAATAACACCACCTCACCAGGTTCTGGTTAACTCTGAACCGCATGCTCATCCTGAACCACACACTACTGAATCTGGCTTGCACCAAACCACTGAGAACCTGCAGAGTGCAGCTGCCCTTAATAATGTCACAGATTCTGGGAATGTAGGCCCCAGCGAGGGTGATATGTTGACCTGTCCGATCTGTAAGAAAAAGCTAACCTCGTCATACACACTGTATCGCCACATGCAGAGTCATTACGACAAACAGGCCGACACATGTCAAGTGTGTGGAAAGGAGTTTGTAGGTAAGTACCAATTTGCAAAAAAATATGGCATAATTCTTGAATTATGTACCTGACGTAAATGCTTATAGTTGATTTTGTCATTTAATAAGGTTTTAAACAAACTAATAATTAAATATTTATTCATTTCATTTCCTATTCTACAGACATGAAAAAGTATTGTTGATTTATCATGCATTTAGCAGACATGAATTTATATACTGGTAATTTCTTTCATTGTTACGTAAGCAAATGTTGGTCTTACATATGAATTTTTTTGTTGCTAGGTAAGCGGAGTTTGGTCGTTCACATGAGGACACACACAGGGGAACGTCCGTATAAATGCAACACGTGCGGAAAGCAATTTGCTCAGTACGGCACGCTGTACCGGCACCGACAAATACACAACAAAGCAGAAAACGCCAACAACCAGACTCCTGCAACTCCAGCCCCAGCAGAAACTGCCCCGACAGAGGATCCAGCCAATCAGAAACACCTACAACAGGGACTAGCCAATCAGAAACACTTACAGCAGAGCCCAGCCAATCAGAAGCATGTTCAGAACTCAGCACCTGCAACAGTGGGTCCAGAGAGTGAACAGATGTCATCTGAAAACAGGTTAGAGAGGGTGCCCATGGTGACAGAAAACAGAGACGTTTCTGAGGTCCCTCGGGCTCCTGAGAAGACCACGATTCTTAGTGTACCCAGCACGGAGCACATGACACATGATCAGCAGGAACTGGGGGAAAGTTCAGGGTACCCCAACCCACCCCACGTGTCTGACACAGAGGCTATCAATAATCTCCTGTATCAGCATGTGTTTGGGGACCAACAGCAGTTTCTGCAGGGTTATCTACAAAATCAGCTGTTTGCACAGACACTTGCGAGATTTCCCAACTGGGGCTCCGAGTTTGCTCTAATGGCTGGATACCCGGGGTATGCTGGTCTGGATTACAAGAAACCAGAAGCAGATCAAAATTACGACATGTCTGTTCTACCAAATCCCCAGATAGAGAAAACTAGGGCTGATACCTCAGCGGACCAACTACAGGAAACTTTCAGTGACAATTCAGTCACATCCTCTAAGTCAGAACGTCTGGAGTCATTTTCTAGTCTCACTGAGTCTCTTCTACGCAGGAGAAATCAGAGTCCGGTTGTGACCACCGTCAATTCTGCTGTGGGTCCAGGTATTCCTGCCACCCAGACACTGTCTGACTCCACCCCGTCGGCCTATCCGTCATCGCTCGGTATTCACCCCCCACCTCCCCCCAGCTACGAGGCAGCAGTCCAGCAATCGTTAGGATCACCAGCACTCCTAAACACACCCGTGGTTGAAAATGATCAAAGTCAGAATTCTCTGTCCACAGCAGTCAACATGACCATGGATATCTCCTGTAAAGTCTGCGCTCAGAAGTTTCAAACCTCCGCAGAACTGACCAAACACATGTCTCAGCACACTGAGAAGAACTTTGTTTGGTGTCAGATTTGTCACAGTAAGTTTACCACGCCGTTCTCTCTGCGTCGCCACATGAAGATTCACACCGGAGAAAGAGACGAAGTCTGTGGTGTCTGCGGGAAGCGCTTCATTGATAAGCCCCGCCTCGTGGTGCACATGAGGACACATACAGGGGAAAAGCCGTACGCCTGCTCCATATGCCCTAAAACTTTTTCAAGGCGAGAAGTGCTGAAGCGACATGAAAAGACACATTCAACATTCAAACCATTGGAGACATCAACCCCAAAGCACATTTACGAGGACATACCAAGGAAACAGGAGGTTGAGGTAAGGAAAGAGCCGGAACAGTCTCAAATGGACTCTGGGATGTATCTCTCTTTTGATGAGGATAAGGCGGCAATGATGTCATACCTGCCGAGCGATCATCCAGAAAACACAACTGTAATATCGGAGCCAGAGCCGGAAAAACCGGTGGAGGAGGCCCGGTATATGTACACAGCAGACGACATCAAGTCAGACACGCCTCCAGGAAGTGATGTCACCTACCAACATGAAGACATACCCATCATGCCTCAGCAAGAGGAAGTGTCTGCAGAAGTGAGCGACACGGAAAATCCCTCTCCGAAAGCCATAGAAAACAATCAGGAGGTTTCCACTGATGTACCTTCTGACTCAGGAAGTGGGAAAGATGCAGAGGTGGATCGCGATTCTCGCACCATGAACGAGATCAATGACATGTTGATGAGAAACTTCACCAGTAAGGTAGAGGGCGCTAAGCCATACCAGTGCGATGTGTGTAATAGGAAGTACACGATGCAGTCATGCCTACGGCGACACATGCTGGTACATACTGGACTGAAGCCAAATCGATGTCAGGTGTGTGGGAAGTCGTTCGTGGAAAAACAGCAACTCTTGGTCCATTTCAGGTGAGGATTTTAGTTAACTAGAGAGGCGGCGAAAATAGGAATTTTGATTTTTTTTTTTTTTTTTTAAATTTATGTTATTAAAATTGATTAAAGTAAACTGTTAATACTTTTATTTTGCATAGTAGATGGTATGGATTCATCATGGATAATACATATATATGTGTTATTTTTTCTGTTTGTTTCTTTTGAAACAGAGAAATTTTAAAGACGCTCTGACCAATCTTATACTAATGGAAAATGTTTTTTGAGAAAATTCCTGGATTTGCACCTGAGATCTTCTTTTTGTACATTTGTTTTGGTATATTTTGCTATTTATTTATTTTTTGTAGGATACACACAGGAGAACGTCCTCACCAATGTTCTGTGTGTGGGAAACGCTTCACTCAGTACGGAACACTACATAACCACATGCAGGTAATATCAGATGTCTTCTCTACAATTCTGTATAGAATGATATTACTACAGCAAAACTCGGTTATAATACAATGAAGTCACTGGGACCTATGAAATTACTTCGCTACATCCGTAATTTGTTATAACCGCTAACAGGCTAAGAAATTCATTAAATTTATATAGCTGATCCAAGGTGACTTCGCTATGTCCGTAAATTCGCAATATCCATGTTTGTACTAAACAAGTTTTGCTGTATACCAACAAATAGTACTGTTAGCTGAAAGACAATTTTTCATAAATTCATACTACAATATTTCCATTTCTATTTGTTAGCTCTTCTGAGCCAAAGGCTCAAAGAGCTAATGCTATGGCCATTTGTATGATGTGCGGTGTGTGTTAACTTTTTAGAATATGGGCCATAACTCAAGAACCCCTTGGCCAATCAGTGTCAAATTTGTCACAGGGTATCCTTGGCCCAAGGGCTACCCTTTATACTAAAATAAGGGTTGGGACCCTTAAACAAGGGGAGATAATCAGGAAAACAAAACCAAAAGTACTGGTTGCTAAAAAATCTTCTTCTCCAGAAACACCAGGCGGATTTTCACCAAACTTACATACAAGGATCAGGATATGTTGAAGATTAAAAATTGTTCAAGGCATGACCCTGGGGCAAAGGGCGTGGTCTCAAGGTCACTTCAAAGTTGACATAAATTTACAAATAATAAAAACGTTTATATTTTGCTTACTATTAGGACTAGGATCATCAAATCTTATAAGTTGATGCATCTCAGGACTTCACATCATGTCAACTCAAAAGTAGGTCACAGTGACCTACTTTTTAAATTTTGTGGGCATTTGTTTTCAAATTGATTTGAAGGCATTTTTCGGGCACTTTTAGGCCTATGATCATCAAACTTTGTCAGTTGATGCATCTTGGGTCCTTGAACAACGTCAGCTTAAAAGTAGGTCACCATGACCTACTTTTTGAACTTTATGACTAATTCTTTTTAAAACATTTAATCCAATTATTTCAGACACTGAGAGGTTTAGAATCATCAAATCTTGTAAGTTGATGCATCTTGGGACCTTAAAACATATCTATGAAAAAGTAGGTCACTGTGACCTACTTTTTGAATTTTGTAGGCATTTGTTTTCGAATTGTTTAAAAGGCATATTTTGATTACCTTCAGACCTAGGATCATCAAACTTGGTCGGCAGATGCATCTTGTGACTTTGAAAAATGTTGACCAAAATATAGGTCACGATGACCTAGTTTCAACATTTTATGGCTATATTTTAGTATCTTAGGTATTTATTGGCTCAAACTTTGTGAGTTGATGCATCTTGGGTTTTCGGAGAGGAACAAACAAAAAGTAGGTCATGGTGACCTATTTTTGACATTTTATGGCTTTATTTAAGTATCTACGGAACTTATTGGCTTAGAATCATCAAACTTTGTAAGTTGATGCATCTTGGGTTTTCGGAGAATGATGTCCAAAAAGTAGGTCACTGTGACCTGCTTTCGACATTTAATGGCTTTATTTAAGTATCTTAGGTATTTATCGGCTTAGAATCACTAAACTTTGTGAGATGATGCGTCTTAGGTTTTCGGAGAGTGACAACCAAAAAGTAGGTCATGGTGACCTACTTTTGACATTTGTGGCTTTATTTAAGTATCTACAGTACTTATTGGCTTAGAATCATCAAACTTGGTAAGTTGTTGCATCTTGGGTTTTCGAAGAATGATGTCCAAAAAGTAAGTCACGGTGACCTAATTTTTGAAATTTTATGGCTTTATTTAAGTATCTACGGTACTACATGTAACTGGTTTTGAATCACTAAACTTTGTTTGTTGATGCACCTTTGGTTTTTAGAGAATGTCGACCAAAAGGTAGGTCATGGTGAACTACTTTTGAATATCTCAGGTACTTATTGCCTTAGAGTCATCAAACTTTGTCAGTTGATGTATCTTGGGTTTTCAAAGAATGTAGACAAAAAAGTAGGTCACGATGACCTACAATTAAATATCTCAAATACTTATTGGCTTAGACTCTTCAATCTCTGTTTATTAATGCATTTTGAGTCCTCAGGAAACTTCAATCTTAATATAGGTCACTGTGATGTACTTATGGTTTTTTATAGCTTTATTATTAAAAATATTTTCAGTCCTAATTGGCTAAGAATCATCAAACTTTGTCAGTTGATGCAACTTGGGTCTTAGGATACTTATATAGGATTAGAGGCTTCAAATAGAAGTGATAGATTGTACAATTTATCAGAAGAGCGATTCAAGGCCCTTGGGCCTCTTGTTTTCTTAATGATAACTCTCTGAAACTTAGTTGAGTTAATTTTTTTGATCATTCTACAGGCGTGTAAATTTTGCCAAGCGGTTGGTAAGGAGCTAATATGTCCTAATATGCATGTAAATCTCATGCGACTGTCTTTGAGTTTAAGACTAAGGATGTCTGATATGCATGATATTCTTGTGTGACTGTTTTTATGTTCAAACAAAGCTATATTGTTTTAAATTTTTCTGCAGGTACATCGGAAGCAGCAGTTGAGTCAGGCTATGAATCTGAGCAGTAAAGGTGAAGAGGAATTATCAGAGTTTACAATAAAGAGAGAAGTCAGCGAGGAGGACGAATTCTCAAAGCAGTCACAAGAACTAGTCAATGGTGAAGCCGTGCCCTCAGAAATCGAAAGTGCAATTATAGAGCGCGAGAACCAGATGACTGAAGCTCCCGCCATCAAGTCTCCGTACATATCGGACGAGAGCAGGAGTCTAGATATATCTAACAAGCTGAGGCCTAACGTTGCCACTCTGGAGGATAGTCAGGAAACAGCATCGGTCACGGGGGATGAGGACAGAGAAAATTCTAAAGAGGAGACCAGTCCGGGGGCAGGAAATGTAGTTGGACAGGTGGAAGATACGGACACGTCTGAGGGTAATGAGAAAACGGAAGGAGCGGGGAGCGGATCTAAGGCTGAGAGGCCCGCGTATGACTTCCTGTACGGGTATCCTACCACTAGTCTAATGTCGCTGAATTTATTGGCCAACACATCTGAAGTTCACCAGAGTCTGATGGAGCACATGGCCCAGATACAGAGGGCGCCAGAAATGCATCAGAGTTTGCTGGAGTACATGGCTCAACTACAGCGAGCACGTATGGTGGGACTCACAGACTACAACACAGCCTTCACACGCCCCCCAGTTTCTTGTACGTACACGTCATCCAGTGATGTCGGCCTTAATCTGACCACTTCTGAAAGTCATACCAAAATCATAGGTCTGAATTGTGACATGTGCGACGCCAAATTTACTGATCAGGAAACGCTAGACAGCCATATGAAGACTCACGCGCTGAAAAACGGCAATGACGCAATGCTGAGTCAAGCCACAGAGGCAACTTCACCCACTAAAAGTGACAAGTTTCACACGTGTAAAACATGTGGAAAGAGTTTCAGTGCTTCGTTTTGTCTACGGCGACATGAGATGATACACAGTGGCAATAAACCCTATAAGTGTGACTACTGCCCGAAGGCGTTCGTGGAGAAACAGCATCTCACATGTCATGTGCGCATTCACACAGGCGAAAAACCTTATTCGTGCAGCACGTGCGGAAAAGCGTTCACACAGTACGGAACGCTGCACAAGCACCTGCGCACGCACAATAAAAACAAACCACACAAGTGTCAGTTCTGTGAAAAAGCGTACTATGAACGTAGACAGCTAACTAATCATATGTTAACGCATTTTGAAAACAAAGGGAAGTAACTTGTCCACGCAAACCTTTTAGGAAAAAATGATTCCTAGGGGTAGCAAAAGCTTTAGAAGTAATATTTTTGTGGTTGTAAACTATTTTACAGAATATTTTAATGTAGGGGCCAAAATGTGTCTAATAGATATCATCCTCATTATCTTTTGAAAATCGTCAGAATTCAAGAAAAGACTTAAGAAAGAAGCAATTTCTTAAGGATTCCATAAGGAACCATTTTTCTGTTCATTTAGTAAGAAGGCATTTTTACGATTATCAGATGTTTCTTCAAAATTTTTAATTCAACGGAATTGTTCATCCTTATTATAATTTATGATATATTTTATAAAGCTGAAACTTGTGTACTAGTCTCGAAGAAAAGCATTATTGCTATACATGGTATACATGATTCGAATAGTCTTTAAAGATTCCTTTTTAAATGTGCTTTTCTTGAGAATTTATTTTTAAAAATCAGGTGAATTATATTTGGCTAGAAAACCTTTAAGATAAGTTTATTTATATTAAATGTACTGATATTCAAATGTAGTGGATGACAATGATGAAATTAACAAAACTTTTGATTTTTTGCACATTTATTTTTATCTTTGGGAAAAAAAATTATTTCAGTACGGTTGTTTTTTGTAAATGCTATTTTTACCTTTTTTGCTGTTCAACAGTTTTCAGCAGTGCTCGTTTTTTATTCAGTGTTGATATTCAGTGATGATTACATTAAAAGATCTGGTTTTTTTTTCTTTTCTTCATCATGTTTAAACTGAAAATAGAAAGATTAGATTGCCAGTCAGTAAACATTTATTGAATTGATTTATTTACACAAGCATTTATTTGTATAGAATTTTTCCATTTTATTTTTATTTGAAGAAATATTTGTTCTACATTGTATTTATTTTTCTCTGAAAAAAAATCTTATGTATCACACAAGGTTGAAAAATTACAAATTCATTAGTCATATATATTCAGAATTGTTGTCAATTTTTTCCCTTTATTTTTTTTCCAGTTCATTATATCATTTATACATATAATGTATCTTAATTGAAAAGATGAACTTTATGAAGAATTTGAAGAGAAGTTTCCTTGTAAACACAAGTCATCAAATTTTTACAATGAATAGAGCTATATTTTAAATCTTGTCTATTTCACAAAAATTTAAACCATTTCTCCATTAAATTGATACATTCTGATTCATAAAGGTAATTTTTTTTACCGACAACATGTACAAGGAATATTTGAAAACATAAAATAATGTTAAATTCATTTTCAATCTACATGTTCATGATGACCTCATTTTTCTATTGAATATACACTTACAATCCATAAAAGGAATCTGACTGAGAAAAGAAAACGAAGGCATTCTGATTGTAACCAGAATACCGCTAAAATTCTGCTGAAATCACGACAATGTTCATTTTAATGTATATTTTTTATTTCGTGGTAGTAATAGATAAGACTTAGCCTTAAGTAAAGAAAAACCCATTGACCATACCCACAGCTCTGAGTATGTACGGCTTCACCAAAAAAATAAATGAGAGATGTCGTTTTTATAAATGGTGCCAAATTGTTGACCTTATTTTGTTCACATATCGGTAGAAACCTGCGTGTGTACAATGTTTACTTTGATGTGCTGTCCCCCCCTAATAACATCGCCTATATATTCACAGACTTTCCATTGGAAAACCTACATTGTTATATTATGTCATAGAGAAAAGATTATGATGTAGTGGATGTTAAAGAAATTTTTCATTGGTTGCTATTTATAGTATAGTCATTGATTGGCTACTTTTTGCAGATCTGTCAATTTTAATCTTGTATGTATATTTTTTTCTCCCATTATTTAGAAATGCACTGGGACGCCCCTAGAAAGTGTGAAGTCCATAATTTAATATTTATTCAGTGTACATGTACATGTATAAAGGATGATTTATGATGTTTGACAACATCTGTTTTGTAATTATTTACTAGAATATGTGAGATAATGGAATATGTTTTCATGATTGTTTTCAGGAAGTTAAGTTTTTTTTTTTCCCATCAGTTCACAGTTAGTATTACCGTATATAATTGCAGCAATATTTTTTCCAGCATTTCTTGAATTTATAATGATGCATTGGAAGATTTTTGCCCCCCCCCCCTTTCCTCCCTTTTTAATAAGAGGGGAAAACATTGATGAGAAAAATTTACATACTTTTTATATGAAGGAGAGAAGGGAATAATTTCATTGTTGATATTTTTAAAGTTTCATCATTGAAAGGTGGGTACTTTGTCATAGAACATAGAGTGCTTTGTCACAGAATATTGGGTAGTTTGTCACAGAACATTGAGTACTTCATAAAACTTTGTGTACCTTGTCAAAAATCATTATAAATTCACTGTTACTTTATTTTTGTATCTTTGTACATTATCATGTGAGATGCATAAAATTGATGTATCAGTCATGTTAAGAAATTCAGGCATTATAAAAAATTGCAGTAAGCATTAAGTGCCCCGTGTACTGATCAAAAGTAAAGCACTCTGTTAAAAATTGTACTTTAATTAACTCTAATTGTAAGATAAGTGTTATCTCTCCAATCGGAAGTCTTTGAACCTTAAATAGATCTGTCTGTGACAATTTTTCCAGTATATGACTTTATGTCATTTAAATTCACAAATTTTGTTTGCTTCAGAAGGGGTTGCACAATGTGTTCAGGTTATCATCAATGTACTCTCTTTAATAATCCAGAAAAGGTTAACCATTTTTAAATTAGCAACTTTTATACTGTATTGTAATTAAACCAAAGGCAATATACCTGTACTGTCACAAATGAGAGAATGTGTTCATATTTTTGACATGGTGGTAATATATATATCACTATTGCTGAAAACTGCCTCTATCACCATTTTTTTTTCTATCATCAGTTTTGATCTGAAACTATCATGCTTTTTCTCTTGTATATACACTTTGGTGCTATGTTTATTTAGAAAACATTACGCAATTCAGATTGGAATTTATAGAAAAATTTGTATTTTTGCTTTTCACAATGTGTACAGCTATATATTTGTAGATGGGGTCATGTGACCCCGTCTATTTTAAGTCTTTCTAGGGGCGTCCTAGTGGAGTGTTTGTGTCAGATGTTTGCTTTAATGTTAGATAATGCATGCTGTAAGTGCCATTTATTGACCGAGGCTGAAGGCCGAGGTCTTAAGCCAGTGCTAGGTAGATGTTTGTGACGTAATCATTGTTATCAACCATTTAGATCTAGTTGTCTCCTTATCAATTAGATATGAATAAATATTAAGAAAATGTTATTAAATTTTCTTTTTCTTTTAATTATTAGGGTGAGGATCCGAAGGCTTGTACTAAAAGTTAGAACTATGCCTGTCTTTACACCATAATATTTGTATATATAATAAAAACGTTTATTTTACCCCTACTTGAAAAATAGGGGTATTATAAAACTTGCTGAGACTTTCACTGAAACTACATTACACATTGCCTTTATGTACCTCCTATTTTACGTTCTGATAAAACATATATTTAGGGTTCCCATCACAAAACATGCATGGACATAGCTGCAGATCTGTAGCGTTATGGTTTTATATATTTGTCTTTGACCACATCGTCTCAAGCCACGGTCCGGAGTCCGCATATATAGCTTTCTCCTACCCTTGGCTACTTGATCATAAAAACCACTGGGGCCGGTAACAAACTGTTTTTGATTTTACGTAATCACTCTACTTATATAATTATATATATATATATATATATATATACAAATTTCTTTTTGTATACATATAGTGATTACGTAAAATCAAATACAGTATGTTACAGGCCCCTGTGATAAAAACTGTCGTAATCTTGATTATTTACGCCTCTCTATTGTGACGTCATATTCTGTCAGTGGCAAGTTTTGTTTCCATCGCAATCGAAATCAACAACTGACGTCAACAATATACAAGAAATTAGGGAATAACTATCTCCTAATTTGGTATTTGCGACCGTTAATGCTGATTTAACGGTCGCAAACTGCGACGCGTAAGCGGAGCCGGTAAAACGGATGTTTGCGACCGTTAAATCAGCATTAACGGTCGCAAATACCAAATTAGAAGATCAGTTATTCCCATTCTAATGCAATCCATGCATTTTGTTTGTTGTTTACATCTTATTTTGATGAATTTTGTTACATGAAATACGTCACGAAGCATTGTGTTTTTGCGTCGCTCTATTATGACGTCACAATGAAAAAGCTTTCACGCTCGTTAATGCTCGTTTTACTGCTTCAAACATCAGTACATTAGCCAATGAAAAAGTGTTTTACAAAACAATTGCATTAGAATATTTCCTATACTGCGATTGGATATTGAAAGGTCACGATAAAGTTCATCATCCGACTATGCTTTACTCGCGTTAGTCAATATTTTAATGAGCTACGAAGAATTCTCTCCTCGTTCAACCACGGCCAGATGGGAGAGGAGCGTACATTTTAGCCGTGGTTTGCGACGATGCTTTGACCATAACGCTACAGATCCCGTAGTGCAAAAAAGGTGCAATTTACGGCGCAATATTTTTTGTGCGCTTGGGAAAATTTCTCCACTTTCCAGCATCTTTCAATCAACTACCTTTCAACCCCTAATTCTAGACACATTATTTAATTAATCTGTATATTTTATCCATTTCCAACCCTTTATAGTCGTCACTTCAAGTGATAAACTCGCTTGATATTAAAATTATTTGTAAGATTACTGAAAATTCATATCCAGCGAGTTTATTGTCTGTAGAGACAACTATAAGTGGTTGGGAGGTGGATAAACTATACATATTGGCTACAGAATGTGTCTAGGATCAGGAAGTGAAAGGTAGTTGACTGACCAAAGCTAGAAAGAGGAGAAGTATCCATTTCTCATCCGAAACTCTTCCTATACGAAGGGTGATCAAAAAGTTCGCAAACTAATCCTCTATCTACCTAACTACAGTTCTGACAAGAATGAAATTTGTCACAAATATAGCCCTAAACATGTGCTTTATGCAGTCATGTTGAAATGTGCGTCATAATTATGACGTCATGATGTTAAAATGACGTCAATATAGAGGCGACTGTGACGAAAATGGATGAGTCAATCGTACTTGAACAAAGAACTATAATAAAATTTTATGTAAAACTAGGGAAATATACGATGATTTACATAAAGTTTATGGGGAATGTGGGCTTTCAAAAGGTACAATAAGTTTTATTGACGGAAGGGAGACGGTGAAAGATGATGATAGATCTGGGTGCCCGCTGAACGTAAGTACCGAGATAAACGTGTCTGAGGTTGAAGAATATGTAATGAAAGATTGAAGAGTTACGATTAGGGAAATAGCTAATGATCTTAGCATGTCTTATGGAACAGTTCAAGAGATTTTAAGAAACGAGTAAGCTTAACATGCGGCGAGTTTGTGCGAGATGGGTCCCTCGACTCCTTCTGCCATCTGGAGCAAATGAGGGTGAGAGTGAATGCGTGCCGGTCCTACGTTAGTAGATATGAAAAAGAACAAAATTATTTCATGAATAGAATCATCACATGTGATGAAACTTGGGTACATTTCTATGAGCCAGAAAGTAAACAACAAAGTTCAATTTGGAAGCATCCTTCCTCGCCATCCCCAATAAAAGCACGCGTAACCAAGTCAGCAGGGAAGGTTATGCTCATAGTTTTCTGTGACATCAACGGTATAATTCTAAATCACATGGTACCACCCAAAACTTCAGTTACTGGGGACTACTATGCACGGGTTATCAAATCAGATTTGATGAGAGCAGTAAAGAGAAAGCGCCCAGATCTGATATTACCATTACACGCTTAATTCGGACTCTCAGTAAGGCATGACATTCTCGACGTTACCTAATTAGCGTCTGAAATTTACACAGTTTCCCATCACTGTTGAAATATACATGTGATAGAGATGCGGCCAAATGTCAACTGGTGTTGTAAATAGCCAATTAAAAGTTCTCTCACGACACAGAAGTGGGGCATAATTATAGTGGTCTCATCGTTATCAACAACAATTTAAAGTTCCTGATGTTATTAATTTCGTTACCAATGAGAATCTACTAGTATTCGCTTTTACGTAGCGCCGAGAAAAGTCACGCCCTACTGAAAGTCCAAAGTAAGGGTAAAATCATCCTAAGATCTGGATTCATTCTGCACCATGATAACGCACCTAGCCATAAAAGTCGGGTTGTGATGGACACCATGGAAACACTGGGTATAGAAAACCTAATTCATCCCCCTACAGCCCAGATTTGGCAATTTGTGACTTCTGGCTATTTCCAGTTTTGAAAGATAATCTACGGGGAGAAAAATATGAGTCGCGGGAAGATCTTGGTACTGCTGTGAACAAGGTGCTAAGGGTCATGTCAAGTGATGGCTTGGATCACGTATTTCGCGCATGGGCAGACCGATGGGAAAAGTGCATAAAAGCTAGAGGGGCCTACTTTGAAAAAGAATAAACTAAAAATCTCACTTTGAAAAATATTTCAAAAGTTATTTAATTAGTTTGCGAACTTTATGATCACCCCTCGTACCAATGAGGGAAAGTTAATCTGACTTTCATAGAATTTATCTTCATCACATTTAATACATAGAATCTTTCCGAAATCAAAGACAAAAACCATGCCATTTTTTTTTTGGAGCGTGCGAAAGGGGGGGGGGGGGGAGTTATCATTGCGTACCTTGACCAGAAATGATGCATACACTCATATGCTTTAATCAGATTGACTGCATGGGGGCACACTGCAACATTTTCCTTGTATTTTTATGAAAAATTATGATATTGAAATATATTATGTGTTTCAACAATTCTAGATTTTATTTTTAACGTGTGAGACTTCCACAATCAATACAAACATTCCTTTATCAAATGCATGTATTAAGAACAGGAAATAAAAATCACGTGTTCCAGGAATAGCATTGTCCCTCTTATCATGTTGTATATAATGTCGTTGTCTTTAAAAATGATTTCTCTTTTCATAGTGACAATATTTTGTCCGGCTTTGGTCAAGATGGATTTAACATTGCTGATTCCAACGTACATAACGCCAACAACAAAAGGATACTGCGTTTATCAGGGCGAGATTTATCCACCAGGGGGCTTCAAGCCGTCGCCTTGCGTAAAGTGTGTCTGTTCTGCAAATGGGCAATCCTATTGTTTGTTTGGAGACTGTAATCCTTCTATTTATTACTTTTGCAAGGATCTTTATAGGGAACACCCAGACGACTGTTGCCCTAAATGCGCATATGGTAAATTTTGAAATAAATTTCAAACTCATAAAATTTATGAAATTGATTCATTTTCATTGGTGCTGGAACCAAGTAGGCGGGAGAGGCGGGGTTACCTTAAAACGGCTATGTTAGTATAACCGCGCCCCTTAACACACCTGTGATTAAAATCATTTTACAGACATGCTTTAATTAAGCAATCATTTATTTATTGGAGATCCTTTAAAAATTTGTAAAAGACCTTTTTTAATTTTTTTTTCTTATAAGGTTACAACTGTACAGCCCCAGACGGGTCGTTTATGCAGTACGGAAAGAAATACCATGTGGATCAGAACTTGGTATGTCACTGCCTGGGACGGGAACCAAACGAAACTGCCGTCTGTAACCCAGTTCACCCTACCAAAATTGTTCCAGAAGTCGTGGGATATTATTAAATCTTTTGTACAGAACATCATTGTTTTATCGTTCCTTTGATGAACACTCATAATGTACAAAAAACGGAAAACGTTTTGAACACGAATTAAGATAAAGTTTCCATAGAATCCCAAGACATATCGTATTTGCTTGTCCTTATACTCTGTCAGACAACCAGAAAATTGTTCTAACGGATATGTACAATGTATGTTAATGGTCCTCTTTGTCTGCCTCTCCTTGATAGCTGCGTTTTTATTTTGAATTTACCGGAGATGAGTAACTAAATTGGAACATGACCACTTTTTATTTACGAAAGCCGTTAGAGGACAGGTAGAAAAAATATTTCATCTGACTGTCGCCACATAGAGAATTCGAAGGTGCAGTAATTGGCAACAGTGATAACGGTAATTTATTCTTAAAATAAAGGAAAAAGCTAATGACCTTGACATAGCCTTTCTCTTAAAATAAAATGGTCAAATTTAATCTCTCTCTCTCTCTCTCTCTCTCTCTCTCTCTCTCTATCTCTCTCTCTGGCCTAGAACCATAAACTGAGAACAGACTTAAGTCAAAATTTTTGATTTTGCATAGGCGTCGGAATCAAATTGAAAGTGGTGGGCTAATTGAAAAGGGGGGGGGCTAAACCAACAAAAAGGGGTAATCCCCAATTTTCAATGCCTAATGTCTATCTTTGCTTAGCCCCACTAGACCCCCACCCCCGGTTCCGACGCTTAAGTTTTGAATAGCTTGCAATTTATAGGTAATACGTTACCAAGAATTTGTAGGTTTGTATAATATTCCAATTTTAACATATTGTAATTAAAATATTAGTTTTCTCATCAAAATTATTTTCAAGTTATTTTGATTTGAATGTTCGACTTAAGTCTGTCCTTAGTAATAGTTTTTGATCTTGGTTTCACTCTAACAAAAATTGAAGATTTATTTTATTTTACCTTCTGTTCATTAAAAGGTAATCCTAAAATACATGTATCATGTGTATATATACCTCAAATTGTAATGTAGAGAGAATGGTTACAGACATTCATGCCTGCTATTCATTCCAATTTCGGTATATCAATAAATATTTTTGTAACATATTTAAAAAAAAATTGTACAGATAATATGGGCTCTATACTTATCGAGCACCTGTTCTTTTTCCGGAACTAAAACCGCCGATATTCCGGTCTTTATAATGTATTGTTTGTGCATGGATACAATGTAAACAATCCGCGACATTGTACGTGTAAATATCGTGGCAAAGATCCAAGACTTAGAAAGGTAAGGCGAGATTACTTTTCTTTATTAACAAAAGAACTTCATAATCATTGGAAATCAAAGCATGCATTCTATTCGAGGGGCGTGATTTCAGTTAATAATGCTTTATTAAATTTCATACAGCACTCTTTTTGACAATCGATATATTGAAAAGTTGATATAAGTCTGTTTAAAGCAATTTTAAAGTTACCTGTACATAACAAAATACAGGGAGAAATTTAACAAAGGGGATTTTACAGAGACATTGATATTGAATTAATAAGTTTAAACAAGATTAAAGGTTTGTAAAGAAATTTTACTTTAATATATATTTGAATGGGACAGCATTTAATACAACCTTGAATAATTTTGTTTAAATGCATTCAAAGCAATTTTAACAGCAATTAATTCCTCCTTTACTATTATAACTTCGTTTCTTTTTTTAAATCCATAAATAACAAAAAAATAAGCTTTTTTTTTTTATTTACCCAAATTATAAATTAAAAACCTCAATCAAGTTTTTTTTTTTACAAGTAATATACAAAAGAAAGGAATTAAAAGTAAAATAATACAAAAATCAAAAGAAAGTGGAAAGTAGGCATTTGGAGAGAGAGAAAGAGAGAGAGAGAGAGGCGGGAATGGAAAAGAGAGGAGCGAGGGGGGTCTTTTCTACCGACCAATACATTAATACCATTTTATATTTTTTTCTTGGTTTCGTTGATATGTATAAATCAAATAAAGCTAAAAAGAGTTTCCACTAGAATAACTGAATCCTCCGACGGACCGACACGGTACTGAGTGGTTGGGGATAATTATAGGAAGGCTCGGTAGACAACAATTTAGTGGAAGCTAGGTAGATAAGAATTTTTTAAAAACATTGTAGCAATGTTTTTAAATCAACAGGTCGCGTGCAGTAATTCACAAAACAGATAGGATAAGTTTTCTATCCTTAACAAAACATCTTTGGCAGCACTCAATCAGGTACCTGTCATTATCTCAGGTAATTATAACCTTTGGTCCTTGAAGTCGGACGCAAGGTTCAAGTATTAAATGACAGATATTGATCTTGATGTCTTAGCATTCTAGAGCTTTTGATCTCTGATTATGCTTTGAATAAATAGTTTAAATACCTACATATCAAACAATTTATTATCTACTGTATAAGGTAGACTCAGTGCATTTGTCACCCATACAGAATGAGATCTATATTCTGCTACAATCTGACATGCAAGACATTGTAGGAATTCAAACATGAAGGCGGATCCAATTTCTGTCTAAAATATGTCTTTGAACAGACACTTGGGGGAGGGTGTGTGTCTTGTTGGGTGTGACATGCCTCTGTATAAAAAAAATCTTATTTTTTCATATTAATTTTAAATTTCTATGTTCATTTCATCAGCACATTCGAAACCTCGAATTTATCCCTTAAAGACAAAAGGAAATTTCCAATGAAAATAAACCTCTGTTGGTTTTATGTATAATTTGTAAGAAAAGAATTCCCGTGAATCTTATGTCTTTTGGGAATTTTCAATAATTTAATTAAAACTAATTCCTCTAAAAAAATTCCAATGAAAATATAGAACTAGTAAGTTTTTGTATGTTTAAATAATTCTTTATGTTTTAAATGAATAATGTGATTCCACTTAGAAGTGCTTTTTAATTAAATTTTAATATTTAAAACCAAATAATAAAACAATAAATCAATTTAAAAATTTGTGCTGAATTTTTTAGAAGTATAGCTGTTTGTATGTTTATCTGTTTGTCTGTCTGTTGTCAACTTTAACCATCGCCATAATTATAGATAATACTTTGGTATGCATTCACAAATTAAGCACTTTCAATGACTCCAAGGCAGTGACCTTGTGACCATTACTTAACCTATAGCGTAAAAATATCTGTTTAATTGCCACAACATTTGAACCATAAAATGCAAAATAAGAATATAATTAAGTTCTTTCAAATTCTAACAAGGTAATGATCTGACTTTTCTACATGTTTGTTACTGAATGTATACATGTGACAAATACCTTGTACATTTAGTGTCCAGCATGATTTTTCTATTTGTTTCTGTATGTATTTGACAATTGTTTTTTTTTTTGGTAATATATTTCACAAACACATCTTGTTTTATACTTGTGTTATATGTTCATAATATATTTTTAAAAATCATGGATATATGAAGTTTCATATATTGCACAACTCGCTTGAAAAAAATGTGTATATAAAGTTGTTATTATTCAATAAGTACTCTAGTACATGCACTTGTTCAAAACGTCATTATAGTAATGTATTTTTACCAAACGGTCTTTTACATTGCAGTATGTTCTTTGCCTTTGGACCGTGGCACAAAAATGTCATCCAGATTCAGATCAGCCCAGAAGGCCAAACCTCAAAGTCTCACCGCTAAAACAGAATTCGACCTGCCAACAAAAAGTATATCAAACACAAATCAACAGAAGAGGATTCGCCCTAAGACTGTCCCCACCAGACCTCAGAAAGACAGTGTGAAACCAATTTCTTTGTCAGTTACGGCAAAACCTAAAACTGTTAGCTCGGGACAAGTCAATTCTGAGAAGAAGGGCAATCGAAACGAAAATGGTGCCACAAAACATAAAAGTTTAAGTAATTCTTTGACGAAGGAAACAGAAAATGGCAGCAAGAACTATGAAGGTGAGAAATCAGAAGCTGATGTGAACACCACAACGTTAAGTTCACCAGAACCAAACGTTACCTGGAAGAACGACAGCGAAAAAGAGGCTGATTTGAAAACCAGAACGTTAAATCCACCAGAACCAAACGTCGGTGGAAAGAACAGCAATGAAAAAGAGACTGATGTGAATACAGGAACTTTACGTCAACCGGAGCCAAATTTTGGCAGGAAAAACGAAAAAGGAAAGAAACCAAGGGCTAGTCTAAATACCGGAACGTTAAGTCAACCGAAATCCAATGCTGACAGGACAATCGGGCAAGGAGAGAAACCAAAGACTGATCTGAATATTGAACTAAGTCAAGCAGAACAAAATGTTAACATCCGGATTTCTTCAAGTTCTAATGAGATTTCTGATAATGATTCGGTAGCAGAAACGCAAAACGGAAACGACAATACTCCAGAACACATAAGACCCGAGTCTTCTGACAATGATTTAAATAACGTTTGTAATGGTCAAATCATAACCGTTGAAAACGGAAACGCAAATGGTGAAGACATTTCAGAGGAACAATTGGAAGCAAGTGTGTTCGATGGGGTTGGTCGATTCTTCATGTGTTCTATTGACTCTGACGTCACAACTCCATGGGTAGGTGGATTAGCGTACGTCAAAAGTGGTGACGTCATTTGTTTAGACCTAAACAATGAGTGTATCAAACGATTCGACAAAAATTTCAAGATAGTGGCAAGCATTGAGGTCCCATTTGACTGTTGTGGAATGACAATTACATCACATGATGAAATTGCAGTTACGTGCCTTAATGAAATTCATTTTTATAATGTAGGGAAATTCGGAATGAACAGAACTGCAAAATATGTTACTGTAAATGGAATGGCGCATGGTATCGCCTCCGACCAAAGCTGGTTTGCCGTGACATGTGATATTTCAGAACCGGAAGAAAGTACGATTCGAATTATCGACGAAAACGGAAGAGAGCAGTTAGCAATTTATCCACCTGTTGTGTCAGAACTTCCATTAAAACTGTCATCCTCCATTGAGTTTGACAAATCAGTAGGTCGGGTTTTCATCTCAGAATCAGCACCGAGCCGGGTCGTCTGTGTCAACTTTCAAGGTGAGGCATTGTGGGATACTTCAATTCCCGGTGGTTCACGTGGCATCGTCTCTATTGGCAACAATATTTTAGTGTGCGACCAGTTCAGTGAAAAAGTTCGTTTACTGACAAAAGATGGCGCTCTTAAGGCAGCAGTTTTATCGTCTGAAGACGGACTCTGTAACCCTGACATCATCGCGCGCAGACCTGATTCCAATGACGTCATAGTGTCCTATGGTGGCTTTGGAACTATTGGACTATTTTCTATACAATAATTTGTTTTGTTAAGGTTGATGGGGTGTGCATGCAATAATTGAATTAACTGGTAGATTTTAGATTAAGTAGTGATAGCAGCGTAATATTTATAAAAAATGTGTATTGCTTAGGGTATGAGGTGTATGGGGAATACGTTTAGAAATTGTTTTGGGTCTCTCTTTCTGTTTCATCAAATTCCGAGCTGTAATATTAGAACATCTTTTATATCTTTAGTTCTGCAATGAATAAGACTGCATTGGCATTTAATCTTGCGAAAAAAAAAAATCGAACACATACGATTAATGCAAATCGTGAAAAATACTCGAATGAAGACCTAGTGTATTCCAAATGTGGTGCAGAGGGTCCCGAGGTGTTCTGATTGAAACCAGTCTTTATTCATTTAATTTAATGTCATTAAACTGCTTATGGATTTAAGGGAAAATCCTCATTATAGATTAAGTAACATGTCATGTTTTATAAATGCATGCATCTAATTATGAAAGATTTTATCTATTGTTGATCACTAATGCAAGAAAATCTTTATTATTGTACCATTACTAACCAACTGTGTTCAGTTCTCCAAGTAATGCAATAAAAATTCATGCCTTTTACAGTAGTTTATCGGTTTTGATTCTATGAATGCTGAGTCATATTATCTTTAGGTCAAGATCTAGTAAATGAAAGGTGCCTACAGATTTATCAAATTTAAGAAATAAATTCCTTTATAGATGCTTTACAACTTTACAACTTTAGCTTGGTCAAATAAGGTGTTTCGGGGCATAATTTGTAGGCAAACAAGATGAAAAACTGTCTTTTAAATTGTCATTTTCAATAAAAAAAATTAAGAAAACCAGTCATGAATATGGGAGTTTTTTTTTCATATTCAACAAAGGAAATGTATCCAAATTGCCTACAGTCTCTCAGAAAACGGTAATTAGTATGTTCATGGCCTCTTCTTAAATCAATGTCAAATTTAATATAGGTATTCGGTTTACTTTTCATATGATTTCAAATTGAATGTCTTCAAAATACTCTATTTTCTACATAATTCTGTTAAAGCCGTAAAGTATGGGAAAAAGAAAGTGGAAATTGATTATGACGTCATAATGGATCTAGCATAAAAAATTAGTCTAAAGTTATTTACTAGATCTTGACCTTAAATAATGCTAAAATATTTTATTCAAAACAAAGAATTATTCAATTGTCCTAATAATTTTCCTGGTAGTTTAATTTTCGTTGTTTTCGTGGTTTGAAGAAACCCACGAGTTCATGTCCACCACAAAATGTAAAATGTTACATATTTAATTACTCAATTAAACATCTACGAAATCAAATTCACACGAATCAATGGTTTTTCCTCAAACCACAAAAAACTACCCCATTAAAAAATATCTGATTTTACAGTATTACGTTTATACAACAATATTTTGTTAACTGTACTCTCTCAGAAATTAATGTCAAATTGTCTTCAAAACAGACATTTATGCATGGTTTGTACAAAACATACAAAAAGCTCCCATGGCATGCATAGCGAGAGAGTAGAAAAAATAAGCCTTTTGACTTATTACCGTACTTTTTAAACACTTCTTTCTACACTAAACATACATGAAGTAAAAAAGTAGATGACCAACATAGAACAACGTAAAAGTAGATGATCAACAAAATGAAAGTAGATGACCAACAAATTGAAAGTAGATGACCATGTTGAGATGAGAGGGCAGCATCAGTTTGACCAAAAGAGAAATTTAAAAAAGTATTACGATGTAATTTGAAATAAATGTTAAATATAATAACATTATCTTCTACGATTTGTTTGACCAGTTTGGAAATTTCAGTAATACAATTATTACATTGCAATATGTAACTAATATGTAACGCACAACTACATTTTGACAACCTTTAATGCAAAGTTGTGGTTAACGACTTCTACAGGCAATGTTCTACAATAATAAGAGGAACATATGTTATATCAAAGTCATATAAATACAGTTCCAGGTATTACATGTAATAACGAAATTTTGTAATTGACATCCAGTCTCTATTCACAAAATGAAGATTTATTACTTAACAGACATTATGAAAATGATTAAAATTAATTTACAGTGAAATAATTACATATCAAATAATGACATTTAGATATTGAGAGAGACATCTTGTAATGTTTTGAATTTCCAAGAATAAATCAGAATTTTTTTCCAGTGATCATTAGAACTTAATGATAATGCTTTAAATACATCTTCGTAAATATATGAACAGAAAATAATCTTGATTCTGCAAATAGCAAACCCTGTTACATGTACATGTAAAATATGATCTGAGTGAGTAACAGATAGTCACTGTTCGGCTGTTTCTCTGTGGCTACTCTTCCCCTGGAGCGTTGTTAACGTTCTTGCGTTCCTCCTGGAACAATGCGGTGATCTTCACACAAACCTCATCCTGAACAATGTGCTGCATCTACAGAATAGAATAAACAATACATATCATTGCAAGTCAGGGTTTTTATGAGCATTTACAAACATAGAGTCATACTCTTTTTTAACATAATGTGAAATCATCATTGTTCGTGGGGGTCCAATGTTGGTGGCTTTCGTGGGTTACCCTTATCCACGAATTTACATCCCCACGAACGTATGTAAAACATTTGTTTTATTATGTATTTACGTTACAAAAACGAAATAAAATTTGTTATCAGCGAAATTACGTCCCCACGAACCAGGAGATTTTTGGCTACCCACGAACATTGACCCCCACGAATAAAAATGATACCACAGTACCCATTGTATGTTTGGGAGCAAGTAAATTTTATTCATATTTATTTTTGACAACCAACAACTTTTTTTTATTTATTAAATTACCGGTAATGTACAATATGATTTTATTATACATGTATTAAAATATTTCGGTCTTTGACCAGCTGGTTAAGAACAGCATCTTTTCTCAAATTCAGAAAATATTTAATTATTTTAAATATTATGTAATTCAAGATAAATGATGTAATTTTTTAACACTTAAGTTACTTCCAATTCATGATTCTAATTTTTTAGGATTTAATTGAGCTATACATATAGATTATCTTCTGTCATGTCTATTTTGAGCATTTCATGAATGTAATTCTTTAAATATTTATTTAAAAGGCCTGTGTATTGACAGGTATTTAAATCACATGACCTGCATTTAAATAACATGACCTGGGAAACTAACAATGGGAAGTAGATTGTCAGACAGTTCCAAAGAGCCACATTGATTTTACAGGTTAGACATTATTTCAATTTTTATATCACATGTTTTATAAAAAGTATCTCATATCTGAATAAAGAAAAAAACATCTTTATTATAAAGTGGACTTCCTTAAAAAATGAGGAGCAATATAATTATTCATGATTTTACTTTTTTAAGATTATGAAATACAACAAATGTAGTGGTTTATGCATGTCGATTTTAGATCACATTTGTATCTTTAACACTACCATTAATGATTTTTATTTGGAATTCCGGCTTATGATTGGTTGAAGTCTGTCACATGAAGGAAGTGTAATACTTATTGACAGTCCATTGAAAAAAAAATGTACATGGTCACAGTTAATGCAGAGTTATCTTTTCTTTTGGTACAGTTAAAGATCAACTATACAAAGCAGGCCAGCTCTGACAAATAATAACTATTTTTATTAACTCATTTTCTTCACATTATTGATTAGGTACTTTCTTTCAATAATTTCATTCTTGATATTGAACATTTCTACAATTTGTGGATCACTTTTCGTTATATATATATATATATATATTTTACTACAAAATATTTATTTTACCTATTCATTGATATTGTCATTTTAAGTACATGTATATGCAAAGCATAAAAAATAAAAATCTCGACAAGAAACTCAAACTTGTTAGAGTTAATAAGGAAACAGATTAATATAAGTCGATACAACTTGTTTCCGAATCCTGTATGTATTATCTACTGTGTATATATGATGTCTAATTTAAATAAAATAAAGTTTAAACAAAAATTTACATTTTTCTTTACAGTATATTAATCTAGACTTGGTTATCAGACTAATGGACCCTCGGTTCAGCCCAAGACACACTCCTCTGTGACCTGTGTTGCAGAGTCATTGTGAACTTTGTCAGATTACCCTGTGTAACGCCTGTGTAGGGGAGCATCTTTCTGATTTATCCCAAAGACACAACGTTGTACCAAACATGTACAAACTCAGGATTTCTAGCCTCTGCTTAAAATCAAGGAATTCCGAATTTAGAAATTTACTTCCTAAAGTCTATATTCCACATGTTCCATTATCAAATTATCATCTCATCTAACCAACATCAAATAACCCCATGAAATGTTTGGCCCTCTGTCATCATTGTCCATAAAAACAGAAAACCATGGTTTCATAATGAAGACACCAGAAACTGTATCCTGTCCTCAAGTTAAATCACTGCTTGATGAACCAGAGCTTATCGCCTCTATAGACACTCGGTATAATTATTTACACAGTGTTACCTGTCTCAGAGATGAAGAAATCTGGACAGGTGGATACGACAATATCATGAAACTCTACAACCTCCAAGGTGAACTATTGAAGTCAATCCAAACCAAGTCACGAAAGGTACCATATGACATTGCAGTGACAAAGAGTGGAGATCTAGTTCATACCGATGGTGATACAAGAACTGTAAACATAGTAAAGGGTAAAGAGATAGAGGAACTGATCAGACTACAGGGGTGGAAACCTATCAATATTTGTAGTACTTCTTCTGGGGAACTACTGGTTACCATGGACAGTGATGATGATAAACAATCAAAGGTTGTTCGTTACTCTGGATTCACTGAGAAACAAAGCATTCAGTTTGATGATCATGGTAAACCTCTTTATTCCTCCGGTGATCTTAAATGCATCAGTGAGAACAGGAACCTTGATATCTGTGTGGCTGACAATAGAGATAAAGCAGTAGTTGTAGTTAATCCGGCAGGAAAACTCCTATTTAGATACACTGGTCATCCTTCTGCTAATAAGAAATCATTTGATCCAGTTTGCATTACAACAGACAGCCAAAGTCAGATCCTGACAGTAGATGGTGACAACAACTGTATTCATATCCTAGATCAGGATGGACTGTTCCTCCGTTATATTGATATCTGTGATCTTAAGTATCCATTTGGTTTATGTGTTGACACCAAAGACAACCTGTTTGTGGCTGAGCAGATGAGTGGTAAAGTGAAGAAAATTAAATACATGTAAATACTTGTCACCAATAATGTATGTGTCTGATATACAAAATTAAAAAATAATGATATTTTCATGTGAACATGTATAAAATACACAGAACAGTACACGAACTGTGGGTAAATACATTCTAAGACCAAATCTTACTCTATTTCCTTTTTACTAAAATGTTATAAAATAAAACTTTATTTACTGTATGATTTTAAATTTTTTGACATTATGCACTGAACATAAAACATCTGGAATTAAATGAAAACAAGCAAATTCAAAGAATTGTGGTCCCCCGCTTTCGGTGTCTTTGTGGGTGAGATGTTATTTTTTATGACATATTGTGTGTAATATGAACATACTATCATATGTCATTTATTTAGAAAGTAACACTGAAGTTGATTTTTTAGGATGAAAACCCTAATCCTGACCGTTGAAAAGTTATGGCCAAAGTAAAATGTTTTTTCTAAAAGTAGGTCAACTCCAAATTCAAGATCAAAGGGTCAAAGTCGTTGATACCCAATGAAAGGTTTTCTCACAAGGATAACATATGTGAAGTATGAAAGCCCTAACCCTTACTGTTCAAAAGCTATGGTCAAGGTTAAAGTTTTTTCATAAGTACGCAAATCTTTAAGGTCAAGGTCAAAAGGTCAAAATTGTTGATATCCAATGAAAGGACTTGCCACAAAGAATACATATGTGAAATATAAAAGCCCTAGTATTTACCGTTCACAAGTTGTGACCAAAGTTAAAGTTTTTTTTTAAGTAGTTAAAACTCCAATGTCAAGGTCAAAGGGTAAAAGTTGTTGGTATCGTATGAAAGGTCTTCTCAAAAGGATTACATATGTGAAGTATGAAAGCCCTAGCCCTCACCGTTCAAAAGTTATGGTCAATGTTAAAGTTTTTTCATAAGTACGTAAATCTCAAAGGTCAAGGTCAAAAGGTCAAGGTTGTTTGTATCCAATGAAATGTCTTGCAACAAAAAATACATATGTGAAATATAAAAGTTCTAGCATCTACTGTTTAAAAGTTGTGACCAAGATTAAGTTTTTTCATATTAAGTACGTAAATCTCCAAGGTCAAAAAGTCAAGGTTGTTGTTATCCAATGAAAGGTCTTCTCACAAGGATTACATTTGTGAAGTATGAATGCCTTAGCCCTCACCGTTCAAAAGATATGGTCAAGGTTAAAGTTTTTTCATTAGTGCATAAATCTCCAAGGTCAAGGTCAAAAGGTCAAGGTTATTGTTATCCAATGAAAGGTCTTGCTACATACAATATATATGTGAAATATGAAAGTCCTAGTACCTACTACTCAAAAGTTATGGCCAAAGTAAAATGTTGGAATTTTTGTGTAAAAGTGGGTCAAACTCCAATGTCAAGGTCAAAAGGCTAAATTTGGTGGTACCCAAAGAAAGGTCTTGTCACAAGGAATACACATGTGAAATATGAAAGTCATAGCTTCACTAAATCAAAAGTTATGGGCAAGGTTAAAGTTTTTTGTGACGGACAGGCTGACAGACTTACAGACTGACAGACGGACGGACAGACGGACGGACAGACAGACGAATGAGATTTAATGTCCCCTCGCTTTCGCGAAAGCGGGGGACAATAAATGAATGAGCACAAAAAAAGATTACTTTGCGCAAAGATGGTTTATGATTAGAATGTATGTAATGGACCAAAACAGTTAAACAGTTAAAATAAAATTATAAAACAACATAAATTGTATTCTCTGTGAAGATCAAAGCTCTGCCAATAGGTGCGTATATTAAGAAAGATGTGTTTTACTACCTGCGTAATAAAGCCTAATCAGATCCAAACTGTCGGGAGAAAAAGCATAAAAACGAATTAAAAGAAATTTACATTTTTATTGACCATGACAACACCTTTCACAAAACACAACAATAAATGATTGTTTATATAATTATTTATCTTAGTGGCTTCTTAATATGAAACACGTATTATTGAACGTGGACCAGAATCGTAGGAGTATATTCATTTTGAACAGATTTCCAAAAGAAAAATTATTAGTATTCAGATAACACCACTTGGTCTAATAATCAAAACCAGTTTACATAAAAATGTTTTTCCTATAAACGTATTCTACTTGAGTTTTAAGTATTATTGAAATTGTATATAAACTGTAAGAGAGGGAGTGTTCTGAATTAATTTCATAGAAATTTCTTTTTATAGAAATCCTGCAATACTGTTTATCAAAACTAAAAAAAAAACAACCAAGAAGCCCAAGGGACTTCAATCGCTGTTCTGTACAATTCATTTCTATTTGAAGCTTCTAAGTATTCTGCTTATAGATAAATTAAAGTTTTAAAAGTAGGTAATCATGATCTATATTTTAGAAACACTCTTAGACCCAATATGATTCTAAGCCAATTAGAACCTGAGAGTAGGTCATATTGACCTACAAATCACTTGCCATTATCTGAGACATGACTTCTTTTCTGTATGGTTACCTCTCTTGCCTTGGTGAGTGTTGTACACTTGTACAGATAGTATTTGTTATTGGCGACATACACGAGTTTGAACGATTTGACGTTAAATGTACACTCAGTGTTGTCCAATATATGTCCATATCCTCTGTCGATTGTTTAGGGGCTCTGGGATTTCCTCTGTCTACGTGTCCGACCCAGATTTCTGATTCTTCTAATGAAGTTGCAACCCTCTCACAAGTAGTGATATCATGACAAATCTAAAAAGTCAAAGGCATAAATCACATTTTTGCTCCAAGTAATCTGTCAAGGTATATTATGCCAGGAAATGTCTCTTTCTTTACAATACAATTCCTAGAATACTCTTACCTCCTGGAAGAGTGCAGTGATCTCCACACATACCTCATCCTGAACAATGTACTGCATCTACGAAATAGAATAGAATAGAATAGAATAAATAGAATAGACAACGTATATTATTCCAAATCAGGACCCTTTTAAGCAAAACAAATTAAGAAATAAAGCCTGCGTTTTCGTGAATGTTGCAGAATAACCTCCAATGTCGAGAAATGTTGTTTAAAAGATATAACGCCTCGGCTTTTATATTTCAAACAACATTTCGAGACCGAGGAGGTTATTCTGCATCATTCACGAAAACAAGGACTTTATTTTTATTCTGCTACATGTAACTAGCAGCCCTAAAATACGACTGATTGTTTCTCTGAAGAGAATCGAATTAGGTCACCATGCTGCTTTAACGCTGTTCCATTTAACACGAAAGTGTAAATTTGTTTGTTTACCTGTGAATACAGTGCAGACAATTTGGGCTTTCGCTGCATTAAAATTAGCCTTTTATTGTTTGTAGCTTAAAAAGATTAATCTTTTTGAATATACAATAGCAACACCAGTTTTCTACTTTACCTCTTTATTACCAAGATCAGGGAGTTTAAATGTGGCGGAGGGAGGTTCGGGAAACAGCCTCGCTTGGCCTTAGAAACCTACATTCATCAGCTAATTTCTGTAATATACAGTGTTTAAATTGCAAAAGAAGACACATCAATGTGGTTTAAATACATTTCATTCTTAAGTCAAATGTACATTTCAACTACACGGGTTTTATACGTGTTTCTGATCTGATAATTATTTGTTAACGTTCCTGATTTATTGGAGAATAATGTCCGCGGCTTTCCTGTGAGGTAGCCAATAATCGCAGTAGAATACAGAATAATACGCTTATTTAACATTCGTAATAACGTATATGTAAGTGAAGGACTGGTGCATTTTATTCATGCCCATTTATATTTTATCTATTCATCTATCTGTTCTGTCTTTATATAAAATAGCAAACACGCCAATGGAGCTTAAATAAATTCCTGAACAGCCTATATATATTTACTTATTGCAGTTATTTTGATCACATGACCTGGATCAAAATCATGTGACCTCTCAAGCTTTCAACAACAGGAAAGAAGGATTAGATTGTCAGACAGTATAGAAAGCCATATTGATACTACAAGTAAGACTTTCTTTTCAATTTTCATACATCATGCTTTTTTTACTACTGAATGTCTTGTTGAATCACAGGTAAACATGTAATCGTCGTGTGTAATTTTACAATTTAAAACTCGATCTTACTTAGCATATTCTTTGAAAGAATTATAATTTCTATGATGATGACAACAGCTTGAGTTTGTAAACACAACCCCTAGACCTATATAATTAAACTTTTTTAAAAACTGGCCAACTCTTTCAAAATTTATGAACTTTTCTCCTTCTTTGTCAAAAATTTTGATTTTAGGTCTTGATGATTTTTTAAGCACTTATTACCATGATAATACATATTTTTCATTCACAAAATATTTCAACTTTACCTACTTATCAATATTTTCCTCAACATCGGACTAAACTATACAATCTTCATATTTTTACAGCATCATTTAGACATGGTCATATAAGAAGACTATCATGGACTCTTGTTACTGTGCCCAGACAGGGTTCTCCATCATTTGAAATGTTACTGTGTTGCAGAGTTTAAGCGAAGAACTTATATTTTGCGGTATTTTCGCGATCAAATTCGCAAGTGCTTCAATATTCATTAAAATACAAAAGAACACATTCAAATACTTATTTAAAATCGCTTAATCGTTACACAAATGTTATGGTCGTACATATTGATAAAAGTAAAAACACATTCTGAAAAGAAGAGGAAATGCTGACCTATACAGTCGAACTACTTAAAATTTTTGAAAGTAAATTTGCCATGATTATGTATCAGTTTAATTTTTTGATTGAGTTTTTGCATTACCAAAAAAAAAAAAAAAGAAACTCCAGAACAGTAAAATATTTCAAGAGATCCTTGAACATGTTCAAATTTTTAAGCAATCTATTTATATCAATTAAATGACATAGGTTCGATGTTATTTCTGACTTAGAGAGCTAAAATAATTGTAGAGCCATGGCTCTATAGAAAAGACATATTTAAATATTTTTTTGAATAATACAATGTATTTTATTGCAACTACCAATTAACTGTTACATGGAAGTGTGAAAACAAATTATTTGTCTTTGTTCTATCATGT